GGGGACTGGCCGGGTCACAGTCGCTTGGAAGGCTGTCACCGCTTGCGGCTGCCTCTGTGGTGCTGTTTGAAGCACTGGCATCGGTTGTGGCATGGGGTTTGGGGTATGGAATTGCTGGCCAGGATGCAAACATGGCACCACCAGAAAGGGACTCGGACCCAAGTGCATCGGCACACTGGGGCGGTTGTGCGGGTACATGGCGTCAGCTCGCAGCAGATCGACGTACCGTGTACAGAACCCATATTCTCTGTTCTAGCTGTACTGGTGTTACTCCGAAGTTCTCCTTGTACCAGATGCAGACGACTAAGGGTGCCGTCTATCACGGCTGTTTTTGCACTTGACTGGAGCCACGTGCTGAATTGAGATAAGGGTATTGCACAGACCTGGACTCGAGGATCCACGCACGCAGGGTAGAACTGCACGGCATGAGAACAGTGAACAATCCAACAACCTGTTGCAGGATAGTGGTGACTTCTACCTTCTCGGGTATCGCTAGAATGTGGACCCTTACCCAGCACCAGCAGACAAGATAGCAAGCATGCCCCGTCGCTAGCGAAACATCTGCACAAGACCCTGCAACTCTGATCCTTGCGGACAGAAGTCACTGTGCTCTAGCAGCAATTTCGATGTTGTGGCTGTTGCGGGATCATAGCTGCAGTTAGAGAACGTTGTCGATCTTTTGCATCGCCCTGCTTCATGCTTCGGCGGACTTGGCGCCTGGGTTGGCACGACAAGACGAGCGGAAGTCTGGGAATCAAGGCCCCATCCTCTGCATATATGGCAGTTGATGCAAAAAGATATGTGTTGCTTCGATGCATCTTTGGTTTGGGGTGTCCTACAGCAAGCTTCAACCGCACATGCCGCTCATGGGATTGGTTCGTGCTACCACTTCTAATCGATGAGTTGCAGTACTAGTCTCAGTACACAACAACTCACTGGCATGCCAATTCAATACGTCGGGATGGTGCAGGATACCTCAGCAAGGCCGGACCGTCAAAAGACTTTCCTGACACTTGTGTTGCTGTGTTACTTGCTCACATGTCCTACCCCCACAGCAGATGTCACAGCACTGACGAATACAAAGCCTTCACAGAAGCCCAGAAGACACCAGAAATGGCCTGAACCCCAAATTTCCCCAATCCAAAGTCTCGAACTCCCATGAAAGTGCGCCCCGACAACCCGAAACTCTCTCATTGCAGAATCGTCACGGCCAAACCTAAGGCCGCACTAACCACAAAATAAGCCCTGCGGCTCTAACAAAGCCTAAGCTCAAAACTCAATACGCTGGGACTAGAGAGTTTCGGGTTTAGGGTTCCCTAAACCCTAAACCCTACCGTATTCCTGGCCAAGGAGGCAGCAGCGCGAGGACGCCAGCGTCCTCAGGCGCCAGAGACCGCGCTTTACCAAGGTCTGCCTCCGCGTCGCCTTGTGGGGTTTACCAGGTCCTAAACAGTAGGGTCCGGGCGATAAAAACTCCTTAGATAAGGCATGTCTAGTTACTCTAGTTTTTGTTAGACCAGGAAATTAGGGCATTGTCGGCTTCAAGGCAGGGCTGTCCAGCTCCAAGAACCCCGCCAAAGATCGCTACCCTAATCTACCCTAAACCCGAAGCCCATCAACCCTAAAGCTCGAACCCTATATGTACACCCTAAACCCTAAAATCCAAAACCCTAATTCCCTCACTCACAACTATACCGCCGAAGAAGCTCAAGTTTCTGAGCTCCACGTAGGCTTGCGCCCGTCGGAAGTACGCCTTCCATGCGGTCTGCTTGGGCTTGGGGATTTTTGAGTTTCCGAAAGGGGGACCGGATTTTGGTGTCCTTAGAATAAGGCTTAAAAAGGGATCCTACTATTTAGGGTACTATAGGGTCCCCTATTTTTCGGAAACTCCAAATTAGGGCTTGGGGTCCTGGGAGGAATTAAGAGTTTAGGGTTCTTGAGACTCAGGGTTCAGGGCCGTGGGACCCAAAAATGACTAAGGGTTTGGAGCTTCGGGATTCCGACCTTGGGGTTTACAGTAGGGCTTTGAATGGAGATCTCTTCGAAATGCCTTTCCGGTGTAGGGCTCCGCGACTGGAGACTTGGGCTTCAGACTTTCGAACTCCACTGGTCTAAGGGGCAATGGGATTCGAGAAGAGTTGTGATTGTGGCAATCAAGAAGGATGCTCCTAGACAGACTTACAATGGGGGACAACTTGAGCTGTTAGGGTTTTCGGACGAAGAGTCCTGCGGCTGAATCAAAACGATCGATCCGAAAGCTCATGCTGTTGCCCAGTTTTGCAATCAAGCAGACTTTGCAAATCTATTCTGCGACCCATAAGATCAAAACTCAGTGACTGTGCTTGCCTTCGTGTGGGCACCAAAGTCGAGCGCCGCAGTGCAGGCTTCGACACACTTGTGGAAGTCTCCAAGTTTCAGGTAGCAGGCCTGGGTGGCGTCTGCGTTCACCCCAAACCGTGCGCTGCTCGGAAACCGCTTCAGGGCTAAGGGGTTTTCAAAAGATCACAAGACACACACACACACACACACTCACTCACGCACCCACGCACACACAGGCACAGAGAATTGCAGCTATTCGGGTTCAGAACGACTGCATCAGAAGGTTGAGCTCGAAAGACGAAGAGAAGGCATGGCGACTGGCTCGTGGCGGATCCACTGCTGCCGGGCAACTGCCATGTTCAGTCGGGTAGCTTGCTTCCTCGGCTGATGCAGCGACTTTGCCGGCTTTTAGGTTGCGGTTGGCGGCGATGCCAGCCGCATGGCCTGTAAAAACCTGATGCTTTTTGTGATCTACATACCTGTGTTTCACAAGGAACTGCAGCACATCAACCCGAACAACACAAGCTTGAACCAAGCACTGCAGACTGCAGCACGAAACCAAGCATCCGTAGTCAAGGTACGTTGCTCAAGCTCTGGGCTTCGGGTTCGACTCGCAAGCCGGGGCATGCACACACTTGTATGGGCTCTCGCCCCCGGGTAGCTTCATCCTTATTGCAGGCAGTTTTTTTCCAAAGGGACCCTGCCCACAAACCCTCACTCCCATGGGAATCGCCCAGGCTCAGCTTCTTCAGGTCCTCCACGCGGTCGTGGGGAATCTGGTTGCTGCCGGCGCCCCCAGGATCCTCCGCACCACGGCATCGCAGTGCAGGGCACGTAGGTGTAGTCATAGTCAGTACCAGTACTGCGGGACATTACATGTAAGCTGACGTCTGATCATCTGTATACATAAGCAAAGCACATACATGCACATTTTTCAGATATCTCCTGAAAGTGATTATTTCGACATGTGCTTGCCATGCCACGTGTGCAAAAGTACGGCATGGGTAGCTGTGTGGGTATGTACGATAGTGACACAATGACACCGCATGACAAACTGTCATGACTGTCATGCAATGGAGGGTTCAACCAGATGTTTGGGCCAACATCCAGGAAGAGAGGGCAGGCGGGTCCTGCGAGGCATCCTTTTGACCCGCAGGTGGTGGCACCAAGCCGTTCACGAAGCAAAACACCTTTGGCACAGCGGTGTCACATTTACTACAGTTCTACACAGGCCACGGAGAGCTCAAAGTTTTCACGCTTCTCCGAAAGTCTTGAATGTCTTTGTCCCGCCTTGTGGTACGCTCCCAGGGCACGCTTGTAGTTGCCTTGACAGGGGGATCTTCCAGCTCATGCACAGGACTCCTGCATCCGGCCTTCTTTGTGGAAGCGATTTCCTTCCTCCTGCGTGCAGAGATGCGTGAACTCCCACAAATCTTGAGCCCCGCCCCCCTGGCTTTAGTTGTGCAACACGTCTGATGAACAATCACCAAAAGCTCCTTGAAAGCCTCGGCTTGCTTCAGCTGCTCTTCCACCATGGCAGGGAAATGCAACAGAGAGCTCAGAGCTCGAGGGTGAGGGAGGAAAGCCTGGAAGTGGTGACATGGGGCGCTGGACTGGAGGGCTGCATAGCTCACATGGTATGATATCGCTGCTGCATTGCAAAGAAGTAGCAATCTTCTGGTCCGTTCCGTGCTCTCGAGTGTGGGTGTTCAGAGGTTGTCTGGCATCCAGTAAAGTAATGTCTACGTAGAGAGGGAACTTTCATCTGGCTCCTGCGCTCTTCCTTCTTTTCTAATGACGCCCAGACAGAGTCATGACTTGTGGATGCCGATGGTCACCGGCGGTCGACAAGCCCTCCAGACTGACGTGAAGATCGCCAAGACTGCTGAAAGCCAAAGGTCGGAGGTCATGCAAAGATGTGGCCGAATAGCGATTGTCAGTTGTGACACTGCATTCCGCTCGTCCAGTGAAGGGGCTTCTTAGTACCAGTCGGCCATCTGAGCCCTAGTGCATAGATACCCGAGCTTTGAGCCGGAATACCATCATAACTGCTTCATGCATGCGGACACTATACAAACACGCAGATGCGCACATTACATATGCCGTTGCAACCCACGAAGGACCAACCCATGCGTTCATGTGAACGGGTGAAAGCAAGTCTCGAAACTCTCACGATGTCCTGCATACCTTGCAAATCCCCAAGTTGCCTCAACCTCATGCAAGCTTGGTCATGATGTCGGTTCCACAGCTATCCGTAACAACACAAACAAGAGTCAGACTCGATACAATCGCCGGTACAATCGTCGTAACCATCGTCATAGCAAAAAAAATTCAGAGCCAACAAGATACTAGTGGTACTGAAAGCTGGTAGTCATAATGATATAGGCTGCGACGGAATATAATCCGCGTGCTCGATTCGAGAAGATGACACTTAGTTTGCGAGTTTGTGCCTTCTTGTGTAACCTCATGTCGCACTGCACCCTTAGTGTACAACCCCAGGACTCACCGACCTAGAGACTTTGAGGCAAGACTAGCGTAAAGTGTTGGCAATGCTAACGAAATAAACTTTCCGTGTGTTCAACCTTAAAAATCCTTGGTCTCCCAAAAAACTGGGATCCATGTTTTGATATGCTGTCTGAAGTTCATCAACAACACTTCTGTAGCGGTTCTTGGGCTGCGGCTCCATGGCACTGATGTCCCTGCAACTGTGATGGCCACGCCTCATGCTCCAGAATGCGAGATTCCGGGCTGGAGGTGGTCGGGCTGTCGTCATACACGTATACACGAAATAGATGTGTATGAGTACACGTCTTCGTGTATGCTGTTTCTACATGTAACTCCAGACATCGATCATTTGCAGAGAACATCTACTTTGACATTGACCGGGATTCGTGATTACGTGTCGGTTGGGCCTTCCTTTGTGGAGGCACGCAGTAACAAGGGGGTTAAAGTTGAAGGTCTGAAGGCTCAGGTGGCTGAAGTGAAGTGTTGGGATTCTAGACCTCGGGATTGGAAGCTGAGGGTTCGGACTGCTTGACAGACGCGCTCTTCGAATTTCCAAGACCCGATACGAATACAAAGATGAAAGTAATGACTCGACAAGCTACTCAAAAGCGATAATACAAGAACGACTATTCGCAAACATTTCAGCCATCAGCGACAAGGCTGCTGACAGGATGAAACATCGATGCCGGTAAAGATGCAGTCATAGTGCGGAAGATATCCATCATGATCGTGAGAACGACAATGAGATGGAAACGACAAGTCTCAGAATCTCAGAAGCAGGCTCTGCTCAGGGGCACAACCGGGACTGCAGGTCCTTGGCTTCAGCTGACATTTTTCGAGCTCGTCAGGCTCCTCCGACCTGCTAGGTGCCACCGATACGCTAATTACTACTCCTGCTCCTCCTCCTGCTGCTCCTGCTACCACGGCTACACTAAGTGTAACACCACCAGAAGAACACCACCGCTCCGGCTGCTGCTACGAGGGAGTCAATAGGCTGCTGCTGCTACCATCAGCACTACTTCTGAGAAGATTCTGCTACACGACTACGGGGCATGATGGTGGTGGTGGTGATGATGATGATGATGATGACGGTAATCCTCCACCTCACTAGAATCGCCAGGCAATGCAAACGTGTGCCAAGGACGTTGCCAGGAGTGCCGTCATAAGCACTCTTTTCACGGGAAGAGCACGCGTACTGCAAGAACCGGCATCATCTGACTAGAACCAATACCTGGCGAAAGTCCTGCAAAGCAACATTGCCCTCCATCCCCGGTCTTATGGAAGATCCTGCATGGGCAGGGTCCCCCACGAAACATCGTAGGAGAGAGTTCCCATAGAGCAGCTCAGCTCGAAGTTGCCAGTGTACGAGGAGTTCACGGTGCTGCACTCCTCAAGCGACTATGGAGACGGGCTATGATAGTCATCACAAATGCCACTGCTGCTACTACTGGTATGCCTATTGCCGCTCTTCAGAATGCTCATACACTAGCATTACAGCCATTACAGAATCCGCAGACTCACTCACCACTGCACCAGCCGTTGCATGGTTGCGTTCACAAACTCAGAGCGACGGGGAAGGGCCTGCAGTAAGCAGCCTTGATTGATTGACATGTTCGCAGCTTTCCCAGGAGCTTAGGCACCGGCCACTGAGGAGACAATGCCGGAGGCCATGTTGGCCGGTGGGCTGACAGATGCCGTAGCTGTTCCCACCTGCGATGAAAGCGCGTTTACTTCACGAAGTGCTCCATCGGAGACCCGAAGGAAGTTGGGAAGCCCGAAGCCTACTAAAACCCCCCGGCCCTCGCCTTGAACCGGAGCTCACCCTAAAGTCCAAAGCCTTGAATAAACTCCCAAGCACATTGTATCCCAAGGCATTCCATGCCCGGCCGTCACGTCCACCGGATCGGCACAGCCCACGGGCCTCGGCTGGTCGTCTCTTACTCTTGCTGTTGCGGTTTAGGGTTTAGGGTTTAGGGTTCTAGGGTTTAGAGTTAGAGTTTCGTAGTCTTTTCGGGGCGGGGTCAGGGTTTTGGGATGTTTTGGGGTTCGGGGTCGTTAGGGCCTTCGGGCTTGCATGGGATTTACGGTGTTCACGGCTTTCTGGGCCATTCTGTCTTGGTAGCACGACTAGCATGACTAGCAGTAGACTCAGACTCTCTCCTAGAAGCCCAAATCCCTTTCTTCGGGATCTGCTATCTGCTCTCATACAATGACAATGCTGGGTGACATTGGGCACGGAAATTTCGAAACCAATTTCCGCTCATCTGAACGTCATTTGCGGGAGTGCGGCTGGCAAGCCGCCACGTTGCCCTTCAGGACGCCGGCGACGCACCTGACGCCGGCCATGGGCACCAAGCACTGCACAATGACCCCAAAACAACAAGATCCAAAGGCCTAAAGCAAGAAGTACGAGACCAAACCATCGTCGTCGCCATTGACAGTACCGTACTAGTCATCATCACCCTCAGCTTCATCATCTAGTAGTGGCGACGCTGTTGATGGGGATGACCGGGGGTCCCTCTGTTTGTCGTTGGTGGCGATGGCGGTGGTGTGGGTGGGAATTGTGGTGGCGGCGGTGGTGACCGTGGTCGTCGTCGGAGCAGGAAGATCAGCGGCAGAGCAACAGATACACCGGCTGTAGTGATTCACCTGCACGAGAGCGAGCTTGCAGCTTGAACCATGCATTTTGGATAAAGATGGATACAGCCTATGTGTCAATCTGAACAACGAGGTTCCGCTTGAATGCTGCAGATTTCTTTTGGGCACGAAGGCTACCACCGCGAACTGCTCGACATATATACATCAAGGTAGATCTTCTCAGCTCAGCACGAAAGTGCAATATCGCCAGCGTAGCCCGCGTTGATGCTGCTGCACAGCCTGGGAGCGTTCGCGGCCAGGAGCTGCAGACTACCCATCACAGCTTCAAACCCCAAAGCCACTTAACAGCTTGACGGCTAGGCCCTTCGCGCCGTGGAAGTTCCCTCGTGTTCCAGATCTGCCTGGACGTAATGCAGCTTCAGGACACTATGAGATGAATTTATCAGGGTTGAGGGTTTCTGGACAAGCTAAGTGAGGCAGACGAGTTACGCGTTGGGTGTTATGATCTAGTGACTTTCTGCGAACTCGCGAGGGTGCGAAACGACGCCTGAGTGTAGGCAATGCCGCTGGTGAGCCCAACAGTGACCTGGAAGGCAGTCAAACCCACCCATGTGATCGAATGCTGGCATCTTAGATATGATCCCCTTGCAGTTCCTAAGCTGCAACTCGCAATGTATAACTGCAGCCGTGCGGTGGAACCCTCTCGGGCAACTGCCGCAACGCCGAAGGCCGCGGAGCAACCAGCCTAATTGGATTTGTTGACAGACTTTGACTTTCAGCAAGAGCTGCCATTCAGAAGTGCGTTCATGTCCGTCATTTCACCGTACGCTTTTGCATGCATGACCGATACCGTAGCCTTCGGCAAATGGATGGTGCTCCAGGATTTGGATGTACCAAGTACATCCTTCCTAAAACATGTTCGGGGTGGCAGTCAGGGCCTCAGCCTCCGCATCCCGAAATGTTAAAATAGATTGAAAGCACCGCAGGTCGGCTAGTGGCATCGGCCTCGGCTGACACTTCTGCAGCAGCAGACGAGGCAGCCGTGGCGGTGACGTCCACGATCTGAACAAGGCATGTCCAAAGCATCGAGCATCGAGCTGGCAGTGGCCAAAACAGTGGCCTTAATCGTTAGAATAGGGTTTTGGGGTATGTTATACTATACTTATAGTAACGGAACCCTATGAATCATATTGGCAATTATCTAGGCCCCCATATTACTTACCATACTGCTACTACAGAACCGTGGAGCTGCAGCACATCACGAGCAGGAGCTGCCGGACAATCGCAACGGCTTCTTGCCGAAGTTCATCAGCCTAAGCGAGCCTCATGAACCAGAGGGGTCAGGGTTTAGGGGTCAGGGGCATCTACAGCCAAAAACGAGCATCAGCGGTCAACATCATTGCCGAGGCAGAGAACCGGGCTAGGATCATCAGCATCGGACGATGTCAAACGCAAAATTCGACTTCTTAGGAATCCTCGCAAGTAAGAGTTGCGAATATTGCAGTCCCATGCGGCGAAGGGGGGAAGGGGCGGGAGGGTATCATGCAGAAGCTGATTATCTGCCTTTGCAACAAGAGCTGTCTTGTAGAAAGCTTCAAAATCAATCACCGAAAGCGTTCCACCGATCGAACTCCGCCGATTCTATCATCCCTTTCTGCAGCAAGTGCATTCCAGGTTTTGTAGCGTCGCGAAATCCCTTCTGGTTGCCTCGACTTCGGCGACTTCATCGGCGCTGGGCACCTCCTCATTGTTTGCCTGCATTTCATGGATGCTTTGGCTACCCAGTTTAAAATGCTGCAGAGTGCAGCACGAAGACGTTCGGGACGATGGTGATGACGGTGACGCTGACGGTGATGATCATGATGATTATGAAGCCAATGCTGGTGATGATGGTGATGGCTGTGGCGATGGTGACGATGAAGATGACAATTCTTGGCGGAGAAGTCCGGTGAGGCTCGCGATAGCGAATATGCTCGGCGATGCAAATATGTTCTTTCTCGTCATGAGCAGCTGTATCAATCAGTGTTGATAGTCGGTGGGCGGCTGAACTGCTCGTTGGTGCTATTCCAGGTTTGTTGCTAGCACTGCACTCCGTGGTATCACCCTTTATTGCAACGGTTCTGTCGATGGCCTAGAAAGCTGTGGATAAAACTAACTGCACACGTATAGTGCTACAAGATGCTACAAGTATGATGTAATTCGATCTATGTATTGTGCTCCAGGGACCTACACCTACATGTACACTCCCCAAACCCTGAATCCCACTCCTGCTGCCCTCCGTAAACAGCACTGGGCCGGGCCCTCCTGCTATTCAGGACTGGCTACTACGATTCTTGCTCGGCCTCATCGGGAATCTCGGGAACTTCGAGGTCGCTAACAGTGACCTCTCCAAAGCTCTGCAGAAGCTTGGTGAGACTTTAGGATCCAGGGCTTCAGAGCCCAGGAATCAGGGGCTCCGGGACTCCGGGTTAGGATAGTTGCAGGGAGAGGCTTGAAAAGGACTCTGAGCGTGTAAGGTTTGATGGCTTCTGTAAGGACTTTGCATGTTCCAATGGTCGCCAGCACCTTCCTTCGAGATTTCGACTCGAGGTGCGGTTCACGGCTATGCCTTTCAGCATGACTGCGCGTCTCGTACCATCTGCTGTTGCTGACTTCACCATTGAGGAACACCAGAAGCAGTCCCGCAAGTGCAACCTCTTCTGTTGTACGGTTCTCACAATTCTGGGTTGGCAAAACTTCGGATTTACAGACTTCCAGTCTCAAAATATTCAAGGATCAAGCACCAAGCGGCAGCAGGCTCGTCCAACAAGGCCGCACAAGGACTCCTAAAAGCCACAGCATAGCTGACACGAAGCTGTAGGTAGAAAGCTCGTAATCCCACCACCGAGACACAGCCGTCCAAAGCTCGTGGTTACTGTGGCAGTCTGAAAAACGCCTTTCTCTCGCAATAAATCGCAAGCCCACCTCCCAAGGTCGTCCGCGGAAGCTTTTCCCAATACCCCTATACAGCTGTGCGCCGGAAAATAAACGCAACATCCAACACACTAGGTCTCTCTTTCAACCCTACAACCAAAGATCCCAAACATGGCTGAACTCCTCCCCACATAAGCCCTCAACGCTAACCATAAAGCTTACCCGAACACCCCAAGTTGCTGAAGCCCCTCTAGTATACTAAAAAGCACCTTAAACCCCAAGCTATATGCATAGCCATAGCGCCCTCATAGAATCCTGGCAGCACCCTTCTGGAACCCTTGTAGATCCCTTTATCCCTTTAGAGTGCCCTTTCTGGAACCCTTGTAGAATCCGGTTAGAGTGCCCTTCTATCCCTTCTGGAACCCCGTAAAACCCTGCAGAGGCCCTCCGACGTCTGGCCTCGCCGCCGGCTGCAGCCGCCAGCTCGGAGCCCGAAGCCAAAGACTGAAGATTCGAAGAGACCTGGGGCGTTCCAAAACAACTTCATAAGGGTTTGGGACTTAGGGGTTTGGTTTAGGGTCTAGGGCCTGGGGATTAAGGATTGAGGGTTTTCGGATTTGGGGCAGTTTCGGGTCTCGTAGGGTTCAAGGCCGAGGGTTTGTGCACAGGGTTTTCTCGGGTCTTGGGAGTGTTCTATGGGGCTTAAGCGGGTTGCGTGTGGGTTTTATCCGCTTTCAGAAGGGGTTTATAGGGTTTGACATATGAGCCTTGATAATTGAATAAATTGATGTTACATTGCACGACTACTATTGGGGAACTACAGCTAACAATGTCACAACTGTTGGTACTTGAGGTGCTCCTTAGGTTGCGAGTCTAAGATCTGCTCCCAAGCCCGGTTCTTCTAGAAGCTGACGACGGAAGGGAGGCTTACGAACCTGCCTTGACAACGTCTAGTGATGACTACTTTCAGTTTATCTACTCGAAGTCTTGACTCATCTTTTGCCACCCGGACTACACTTCTCTGAACGACCCCTGCAGCTACCTCCAGGGTTTTTTAGTGCCTTACTTACCCCGCAGCGAAGGCAGAACATCTGCTCCTCGCGCCTCGCCAAGCTCTCCTGCCTGGGCGTTCAGCGCCTCAGCGCCTTCGATGTCTTACAGTGTAATATAAGGCTTAATATAATAAGGGCCATAATAATTAGAATAAGGTTCTGGGTATACTGTACTATAGCTGTAATTTATTCAGGCCACAGTAGGTTTTGGAGATGCTTCGAGTTTACCAAACAGCTTCGGTGTTCGAGGCAGCTAACTAGTTAGTGCCTACAGCTTCAAAAATCCAGCACCTCAAGTTCGCCGCCTTTTACGTCCAAACAGCATATGTGTACAAACTCTGATATCTAGGGGACGAATGCATGTGCACGTGAGTTCATGGGCATCAAAAGAACTACACGTTCGTCTCTACCCTAACTTAAACCCTATAAGCCCGAAGCCTAAACCCTGAACCTCTAATCCAGTATCCGTGAACATTGATATATTATTTATATATCTTAACTTAAGGGCCCTCATAGTAAAACCAAGAACATGGGCTCTGCTTGAGCCTTGACTTTCTGCGTCTCCTCCCGAAGCTGCTGCGGCCTAAGCGCAAAAACAAAATGCTCAGTTCGGGCGCCGCCTGAAACCTAAAGAGCAAAGCCCGATACCACCTGAAATAGTAATATGCCATACTAAGGTCATAATACAATATTACAATACAGAACAGGCATACAATATCTTACAGCATCACTTGAGGCTTCTGCAGCATCCTTAGAGGGTTCGATGGAGATGTCCAGATCCGTGAGGTCCACGGCGGCAAGACGTCGGCCTGCTGCCACGCTGAGTGCACGAGGGCGTTTAAAGCTTTGGTTGTGGGCTGTGTGGGTTTAACCCGACTGCCCTGAAGTCTTGCGCCAACAGTATTACGAGGAAAGAGTACAGTCAGGGGGCAGAGTAGATGATTCTTCGTACATTACGTCAGGGAAAACCACCTAGAGCCGACAAACTTCTCTTTCCGAGCTTTCGTGATGTGCGATGGGCCAATGATCCGAATCTTCTGCGACTAGCTGCGAGCTTCGCATCAATGGGTGACTGCACCTGGCGTCTTGCAGATCCCCTCCGCCGTGCACACTGACCTCGTGCCAGCCGAGAGGAAGCCGATGGTTGGGAAGCTTTTTGGACGAGGTCGTCGGTTGCAGTTACCCATAACAGCCCGGGGTGCTCTACATAGGAAACTACGAAGACGCTGGCCAATCGAGTTTGCTGGTGCCCACCCGTATGGGCACCCGGCATGCTTGGCCCTATGAAGCCACTCTTCCTCGATCGAATCCCCAAATCTTGCATGGCTCTGGCGACCGGGTGCCCTCACGCATCAGAGTCGTCCACAGTGGTGTGCACCAGCCTGGAGGAAGCTGCTTTTCGGCCCTTTGCTGAAGCTATAGGACTCTAGCCCTCGACCCGGGGTCCTGTAACATCGACTGACCTAACCCTCAAACTGGGCAGTTCAGCAGCTCCTTGCACAATCGACCATGACTTTTCAGAGATGTCGCTCTTACCCATAAGAGAAGCTCGGAATGACTTCTCTGGGCCCTGGGCTTCAGCCGACGCCGGGCTGCCACAGATGCCACCTCGACCGATTGGAATCTGGCGATTCTAGCATCTGTTCTCTGCTGACAAGCTTGTGGATCTCGGCCAGGGGTCCCAGAGTTACAGTCTTGGTTCAAGGCGAAGTGCAAGTGGGCTGACAGTCATCTTACGAAGAAGTCATACATGTCATCGCTTCAAGATTACGTAATAACATCTGGGTATGACTCAAGTGCCTATGGGATCTTCAGAACTGAACTGGGCGCACAGTCGATTTGCGGCCGCCGCTCCCGTGCCAAGACTATGTGCCCCAGCCCCTTCCTGTGTAGCTGCGCATAATTTGCAAGCATCCCCTCTCGCACTGACCCGAGGAACACGTCTCGAAGCAACACTGCGCAAGATCTTCTTCAGGTTACTGCCACAGTCGAATGTGGAGCTGCGACCCTGACGATCTGAAGAGCCGTGTTGCGCTAAGAGCACGCCAGCATCATGCAGCGAACTGTAGGGGTCCGGGCAGAGATACGCTCGGGCGGAATTCCAAGCAGGATCGCCAAGTTCGTCTGGAACTGTGGGCCATTGAACTCGACGATACTGATCCTGGAACTCACAGCGTATGCGAGCTCGCTGGGAATGAATACGAGGCACTCATACGCACCGATAACTTGACTACTATAACATGCGATTGGAAGAATAAGTTATTTAGACTGACTGAATGCCCAAACCACAATTTCCACCCCACACGAGATGAAAACCCCAATCCATGGTAGACATTCACCATCGTGTCCCTCACGCCGCACACAAGCTAAGTAAAAAGCCTGGGGCAGGGGGTCCGATGATGAAGAATTGTCTTGCTTGCTTAGGAGCTGTGACCATCACCAGACAACACCCTGAAGTAGAAACCCCCTGAAGTAGATGCACTTTCAGGTTTGGGATACCTCGCACTGGGCTATCATCTGCAACTGGATAGGGGCTGTCTGACATCACCGCCATCTCAGCATTGACTAGCTATTCAAAGCCATCGGATTACACCCCAAAAGGCCCAGCGAGTAAGGCAGCGGCTCGATGTTCATCTTGAGCTTCACCGTGGGTGTGCGCCGGATGACGAGATCCTTCCGGGCCTGAGGTGTGGAATTTAGGATCTGATCGGAAGTTTAGTAATTAATTACCTAGAGTATTTTAGGGGTTCCGTAATATATACTTATAGTTAGAATAGGGTCCGAAATCCTGGGTTTTCCGGGGGAGCTTACCGGGTTTGGGGCTTTCGGCTTCTGCCCCTCCGCAGAGGCGGTCTGTGAAAAGCACGACCAAGGCCAGGGCTGCAAAGCCTTCGGGTGAACCCCGCATGGTCACATACAGACCTGGGAGTGCGGAATGGGGCTTACTGTTTCATGATAAGGACCCTTCAGGGGGGTAGGGGGGAGGGGGGTAGGGGGCCCTAATACCCCAGTAATCAGGACTCATTAAGGCTTGATAAAGGAAGTATAGTCCCCTACCCCCTCCCCCCTAACCCCCCTAAGGGGCCCTATAATTTCACTGGCTCGAAGGTACCGCAATCATTACGACTATTGTTCACGCTTTGGTCAACGGCGGGACGTGTTCGGCATGGCCGCTCTGAGGGTCCGTATCATGGTAAACACCAAGAATAAGAAACTTCACCGAAATCAGGCTCTCGTGGCACCGAGGATTCAAGAGCTTGATGTTCTTCAAGGTGCAACTGCAGGATCGGGCCACGCAGTGACCGGAGCGACGTGTCTGTCTTTGCATTCTCCAGCAATGGGACAGGCTCGCGAGCAGCATTGAGGTGCGGCCGTCTGCAGCTACAATTTCTGGACACAAGCACGCAAGCAATAACTCGAACGACAACACGGCAGAACGGCGTGGGCGGGATCCTTGAAAGCACCAATCAACCCGTGTGTTGCCTGAGCTGTAAGACTGACACCCTTGACACTCAACTTGACACTCTGATTCCCTCCTACAGTGCCGGATGGGCAGCCCAAAACGAAGAGTGGCACTGTCAAACAAGTTGCTGCATGGAGAACTTTTGTCTTCCTTCGTTCTATAAAGTGCTATTATACATGTTACTAATGTTATTTAATTAGTACCATTGGATTGCGATCGCTGGCAATGTGGTCCGGTTCACATTCGTGCTCTGATCAATGCTTTAGTATCGCCTTGAGAAATTCTCTGTATGTGCTCTTGGAACGAGCATTAGTACCTTTCTTGAAGCCGTACGCGTGGGATCGCAAGGACGTCAAAGCGGAGGAGGTAGACTCAGATGGTGATCACCAAGGGTTTACATACACATGTTTACATCTGAGGGTTGTTGCTTCCTTGGCTTCGGGCGTAGTGCTTGAGCATCGACCACATGGGCGCCGTGCCTGGCATGAGGATCGGAGGACCTGCAAAGCCTGCCCTCGTTTCAGTCCTGCGCCAAAGCATGCAGGTCTGCATGCCTGCACACAGCCTTGCCCGCACGTACAACAATACTTTGAGTTGATGCTGGTGAGCATGGGCAACTTCCTGTGCATGTAGTGCGGGGTTACAAAGACTTGGGGTCGCTGGTTTGGGGCAGAAGCTCCGGCATCTCCGAGGTAGGAATACCCACAAGAAAGGGGTTTGCTCCGCTTTGAAGCCTTTCCCTTTAAGACACGGCGGTGCTGCTCATCCTCCAGCGTGGGCTTTCGACCCTCAGGTGCTTGTGAGCTCTAAGGGTCTTCGGCTTCGGCAAACGCGCTGACCCTATGGCCATCAGCTAACCGACAAAGAACATCTGACCAGCGCTCCTTTATTGGGATGATTGCTTTTTGGAAGCTCTCACATCCCAGACCAGGTTACAGCAAAGAAAGCACAAGGCTGAAGGCGAGAATGCCCAAAAATCAATGGAGAAACCCTGAAGCTCTACTCTGCACCCAACACCTTATGTGTAAATTGGAGAAGGCCTAGACCCCCTCTCCCGCACCATTCGCGGTCCCAGATCTTGCAAATCTGCTGTTGCAGCTGCGGGTCCAAAAAATTGCCTTCCTGACCAACTGGTCCCAACAAAACCATCACCTGGAACCCTGGCCCTAAACCCGAATCCCCAACCCTAAGCCCCCTGGGGGCCAGGCCAACTTCAACGCCATGTCGGGCTTCTTGGACCCTCCTTTTGGCAGAGGTGGTTTCAAGTGCTTCGGGCGGAAAGGATGTATTGGCTTCGGGGTCGGGTCAAGGGCTTTGGGTTTCGGGGAGTTCGGGAGGGTTTTGGGTTCAGGAGGGGCTGCCAGAGCACCTTTAGGGTTCAGGGGCTCGGCGGCGGCACCCGGAACAACGGAAACCCTAAGCCCGGCTTGAGGTTTAGCTTAGGACAAACCAAGGGAAGAGCATAGCGTTGTCACGATGGCGATGGTGTTGGAGATTCGTGATACTCGGATTGCTGTCGGAAGGATCCGCTCTGCTGCGGTGCCGGGGCTGCTGTGGACATGAGGGAGTGCCTTCTAGAGGGAACCTGATTGCAGCTTTATGTCAGCCTGACGACAAGGCATGAGCAAGTGGGTCCGGCTCTTCAGAACATCCCATCCCTGTCCTACGAAGACGTTCACGCCGCGAGAGTCTGGGTAGAAGATCTCCAACAACACAGACTGGGCGGCGACCGTTTCACTGGCTTCAGACAGAGCTCACACGTACGAACTTGTCCGATGCTTTACATACTTGGCACCTTCCACTATACTGCCGAACATACGTAGTGTGAACTCCAAAACATCTTGCCTTTCACCTCCTCACCTTTCCCCCCGTCTACGCCAGTTCAAGGTGCAAGACCAAGACATGCCGGGAAGAGCCCAACTCTGAACGACTGACTCAAAGGAATCCAAGGCCCTCGCGGCCTCTGGCCTGGGATTCCAGTACCGGAGCCTGAGCTTCGGCTCACTTGTGGGAGTTTTGGGCTTTGCTGCTAGGGCCTAGGGTTCTTCAGGCTTGACATAGTAAGGGTATTTTGAATATCGACCATGCAAGGAACCGTGCTGTCTGTTTAACTGCTGTGCGGGGGTGGAGGATTGAAGAACAGAAACCGGGGCACGTGATACTCCTTCGCAACCACACACGCCGACACACGTACCCTTAGCATTTTCAAAGTCCCACGACTGGACGGGGCTTAATTAAGCAGATTACATTTGGGCGATCGCTCTATCAGGCTATGCTACGGGGAATGTGTCCAGGCTTGTGGCGGTTAAAAGCCCATTCTGATACGCATTCCGGCCTTAATTGATACACCCTTCCATGTTCGCTGATACTCAAGGCCGGAATGCGTATCAGTGAACACCAAAACCGTGTATCAGTTGAGGCCCCAAGACGTATCAGTGAACACGAAAAGGTGTATCGGTTCAGGCCGGAAGGCGTATCAGTTGGTGTAGCAGCTCAGGGGCCATAGCCTGATAGAGCATTCCTCCAAGATTACATGAATGCACTTGTGGGCTGGCAATGCAATAGGGTGCTCGCAAAAGCATACGTGAAGACCAGAACCCAGTACCGGTTCTTTTGCTTGTGACTGCAAATAGTCTGATGTAGATCATGGTTGTTCGCTCCTGTAGCCCCAAGCCAGTCCTTGCCATTCAAGTCGCCGGAAGGCGGCTAGCATCACTTGGGATTCAGGGCTGTACGGATTAGGCTAATAGGGCCTGCTAAGGTCAAAACAACCAAAACCCTAAACCCCTAAATAAGGGGGCTTACCACCGGCTGCCCTTGCGACTCCTCCTGTCAGCTCGGTCTCGCGCTTGAAGTTCTCGGGCAGAGACATGACTTCCATGTAGTAGGTCGAGTCCTCGACTGAATCCAGGGTGAAGGGGCAGCGATAGGGCGGATGATAGGTCGTCTACTCGCTACTACTGGCACTGTAAAAACCTGCAAAGGTCATCTGGGCAGGCTATTAGATGCGAGTGATTTCGATATGCGGGATCGGCCCGAACCGATCTTCCGACTGACAGCTGTTCAAAACGATGCCGAAAGCTCTGAATGATCTGGGATTCCTGGCTGGAGCTACATCAGAAGACAAGACCATCCTCCCTCAAATTCTATGCGGTGCCCATGCACACATGATCTGATGACGGTGGTTGATGATGGTGACATTGGTATGCTCCTATACGAAGGAGCGACCGGGCTGCAAATAAAACGGAATAAGATCAAGAATGATGGTTGCCGTCGCTTCTGGGTTGCCACCCGCATCCAGAGCCCTTGCCACGATGACATCCACCGTCAACCCTGAAATTGAACAACCCCACCACTGAGGGCAGAAACGGGCTTGATCAAGATGTGGTAGAAGGAGAAATCCCAACCTCAAACAAAGATGGTGAAACGCGTCAAACAAGCAAAGGGCTGGACAAATGAGGAATGGAGTCGAGTGTATGATATGAAAGCCTTCATTGGCTTTCTGATTTGTTGAAATTTCTCGGGGTTGCTCCATTGGTAGCAGGAGCGTCGGCCCGCTGGTTCCGGGCGTGGGGTCTCTCCGGTTCAAGCCTGTGGCCGCCTCCGCTAACTAGAGGACGAAAGGAAACCTCTTCAAGCAGAAGCTCTTGAAGAAGGTTGTTACCCTTGCTGTCCCGTTAAGCCACAGTTCCTTCGGAACATGTTTCCGGAGGCGGCCGTCGCCGTAACTAGCAAACACGTTTACAGTGCAGATATTGCAGGTGGTGAAAATGATAGTGATAACCATGATTTTGAGAATGACCTCCTCCTCCTCCTCCGTGTCCAAAGACTACTCGTCTTGCCCATACTCTTCCTGCTCCTGACACGCCACCACAACAATTGCTTCTTACGACGACGACTGCTAGGGCTTGTGCCAGTGCCAGAGCAAGTGCTACTGCTCCTGCTGCTACTTGGGCCAGCCCTAGTGTTGCTGTCATTCCTGTTGTGCTGAGGAAGCGTCACAACCTACTTTCAAAGTCTTGACTCATCCGGCCACACCAACACGCTGGCTTCATCCCTCGAGGCGCCACGCCACAGGGGCAGGAGGCATAGAAAGGACCGACACCTTTGTGCGAGGGACTGAGTTGGCGGTTTTTAGCGGACCAAGTTTAGAGCACTGAGCTTTCAGATTCCATAGATGAAGGACTGACGGTCTGCGGTTCAAGACTTCACATACGTTCACATGTATTATGACTTTTCCATGCGGAGAGAAGTTCGACATGTGACAGCCAACGGGTTTGTGGCTATAGAGTTGCGAGCTTTCAGATGTTTACAACACTTCAATTAAGGCCTTGGGGTTTATGCTTATTTAAGGTTTGGGCTTGGCAGGTTGGAGGTTCCCGCACCGGTTGTGGAGATCGGAACTCCGATCCGCTGTTCATGTGATTGTGCAACCTACTATTGCTTGCCATGGGGCTGCTGAGGACTCCTTTGTTGAAGCCGTTGTCCTCCTCCTCGTCGGGGGTCAACACCTTCAGAGTTGGTTGTCAGACGTACACGACCTTTAAGGAACCCTTTTTCCAAAAAGATCACCTTGATAGCCCCATATCCGACACTCTCACCTCAACCCTCCATGAAACCCACCAGTTGCAGAAATTGGTACATCCACGACAGCAACCTGCATGTCTTGCAAAAGCCAAACTAACCCCACTCCATTGAGTGATGGCAGCTGTAATAACCGAAAACCAAGAGTGAAGACCGATGGTGGCGGCAAGGAAGCAGGATGAAAGTGGCCTAAGCAGCTTGGAGTCGCTGATTCTTTCCGATAGAGCACGGTAAGCACCGTCTTTGAGACACTTGCTAGTCTTAGCCGTCTTGTTGCCCTTCCTGTTCATGGTAACACGCAACCAACACCTCCTGTGGAATGGTCCTGCGCTCCAACCCCGTCAACCCCAAACCCACAGAACCCTGGAAGCACTAAGTCCTACACCCCTGAACTAAAGCCGTACCAGAGCCCTGTCAGGGAGCCCCGCCAGCGGACCGAACTTGATGTCTTTCGCACCCCCTTGGATGCGAATCTGCGCAAATCTCATATAGAGAAGCGAAAGAGCCAGATTTGAGGATGCGTGGGTCTGAGTGTAGGGTGTGTCAAGTAGTAGTCGGGCACTTGGCAATCACAACGTCTCTAGGAACAGACAAGTTGGGGGGCAAGCGAAATCCTGCAAGCTAGGGCTGTACCACACTGTGAACTTTCAATCGCACTGGCTAAGTACCTCAAAGGAAACCGGTCTCCATTGCACTGGCATCAGACGAGCTCCTCCCAGGCTTCCACCCATCCTAACGCCTAGACTCTTCCGGGGCATCTCAAAGAATCTGAAAGGTCAACGGAATCCGTGGAGCAAATGAGTTTCACAGGACACCAAAACTCTTACGGCCGCACAATTGGCCAGGTTCCCCGCTATCCAGGTTGGTCATCTCGAGCAAGTCAACCAGCATGTTTGGGCAGGCCTGTGGGACGTTGTGGTAGAGAGGCAAGCTGGTTTGGCAGTGGCAGTGGTGACCAGACATATCTACAACGAGTGGTTGATGTGCGCCTCTGGGGATCGAGAAACTGCGATCTTCCCTTGTTGGCTCATACTTCTTCCGCCATTCAACATGCACGGAAGGGCATCCTTTGTGCCGCAACCGGAATGCCGCACCATCAGGCTCCGGAATGCCGGGCCATCAGGCTTGGCAAGGATTCCGTTAACTGCTTCGCAGCCAGACGAGCTCCTTCTCCTACGGCATATTTGTCTGCTGCCTCTTCATTAACAAAGTTATCCTTTCGAACCGCGAAACCCGCAGCTTCCCAGCCACGAAAGCCACCTTCAAGCACTGCCACGCGCTGCTCCCTAGGAGCTTTAGCCCTGTACCAATTAGCGCACGTGGGTGCCCTGTGGCAGGAATACTGGCAGGTGAAAACCACCAAACTTTCGTCTGACAACTTTTCCACAAGCTTCTGTACTTTCGGATAGAATGGATCCTCTGTGGTACACGGGACGTGGATGGACTCGTCGATGTAGCCCGAAGCTCGATCGGTACCCCGGACATCTACCAGCGCGCACTGTTTCGTGTGCAGATCGTAAAGCACCTCGTCCGGGTCAAGACGCTCGACACCGTCTTCACATTCCACGGTCTGAACCAGGTTCCACCTCCTTTCTTTTGCATCTTTTCCCATCCTGCGAGGTCGGGACTCCGGCACTGGTACTTCCATGACTTGTGCAGTTTGTGCCGTTTGCAAGGCTTGCGTGGCTGGTTGCAGCTCCGTCGTCACTTGCAAGGGCACTTGGCTCTCGGGCCGGTCGTGTCTGGGCGGTGTGGCAGTCATCGGCATTGCGGCCGCGCTTGCGAGCGGCTGGCACTGGGCAACCGGGACAATGGGTGCAATCGCGGGCGCCTCCAAACTGCTTGCATCCGGAACGTCGGGCTTTCTCTGAGGGGTCTGGGCCGGTGGCTTCGGTTTCGGGATGGGGTCGTGCAAATGGACAGCTGCACTGATGGTCAAGGGTGGTCTTGCATCCTGACCTTCAGGCTTGCTCTGATGAGGGGTCTGGGCCGGTGGCTTCGGTTTCGGGATGGGGTCGTGCAAATGGACAGCTGCACTGATGGTCAAGGGTGGTCTTGCATCCTGACCGTCAGGCTTGCTCTGATGAGGGGTCTGGGCCGGTGGCTTCGGTTTCGGGATGGGGTCGTGCAAATGGACAGCTGTACTGATGATCAAAGGTGGTGAATAGGACTTGGCGGTATTAGCTGGCTGCGCAGGGCTTGAGTCGGCGGGGGGACGTGGGAGAGGGCATGTGCCAGTTGTGGAACTCGCACGGGTCCCAAGCACTGATGGCGTGAGAACGGCTCAATCTGCGGGACAGAAAGTTGTGGGCCGTTAGCCGCTTCTTTGGCAGGCTGCATTGCAGCTGTCACATGGGACTGAGTCCCCATGCCCTGCACGCCCTGGATTGTCAGTCCGAGATCACGCACGATGTGGGGATAGTTTGGGGTTGCTGGCTGCGATGACCGCATCTCCCACTGATGGCCGACTCTCGTAAACGGTGCCTGGTGCATCGGCTGCCACATGAGATGTGGCAAGGGAAAGCTTCGCCATGTCGTGATGTTCACTCCAATCTGCGGCGGCTGGATGATCAGGGGGCCTGGCCGGGTCACAGGAACGGGGATCGATTGGAAGGCTGTCGCCGCCTGCAGCTGCCACTGTGTTGTTTTTTGAGGCACCGGCATCGGTTGTGGCATGGGGTTTGGGGTATGGAATTGCTGGCCAGGATACAAAGATGGCACCACAACGAAGGGACTCGCACCCAAGTGCATCGGCACACTGGGGCGGTTGTGCAGGTACATGGCGTCAGCTCGCAGCAGATCGACGTACAATGTGTAGAGAAGCCATATTCTCCGTTCTAGCTGTACTATCGTTACTCCGAAGTTCTCCTTGTACCAGATGCAGACGACTGAGGGTGCCGTCTATCACGGCTGTTTTTTTCAAGCACTTGACAGGAGCCACGTGCTGAAATGAGATACAGATACAGACCTGGACTCGAAGATTCATGCACAAAGGGTAGAGGTCAATCCAGCAACCTGTTGCAGGATAGTGATGATTGCAACATGCAAAAGCCACTCATGCCGCACCTGCGCACCGATGGACGTGTCCCCGAGTGAGGCATTGCACTGCGATGCCCACCTCAGCCAACGCTGGCAAATCTGGGTTCCTCGTCTTTGCTCGAAAGCCACACAAGGGGCAAAGCACGGTCGACCCAGGCAAGAATGGGCAAGTTGGGTTTGGGATTCTCCGAGCACCAGAAACCAAACCCCTACCTCTGAATTTATGGCATGCCTTCGAAGGAGGAATCGGGGAAGCCGGGTTCGTGCGACATGAACAATAAACCCAACCTGAAGCACTCAAGCCTCAACCCTACACCCAACCAAACATGATAAACCCTGAACTGAACCATACTGAACCTAAGCACTGATCCCTAAAATGCACAGAAACCCTCGAGGTCCACACACGATCTCCGTTCGTGGCGTAAGTGGGAGGATGGTCGCATTGGTGGCATTCGCAATTCCTGCGCACAGGCTTGTGGATCGAAGCGAAAAATATCCCAATTCACTAAGAATCACATGACCAGACCTGCAATAATTCAGCAAAGACACTCAGCAAATAAGTTCGGACATCCTGAGTCAACAATCCCTGAAACAAATCGAGATCTAAGCACACTGAGGACCGAAGTTGGACTGAGAAGGACGGAAGGAAACCCGGCGCAGACCTTGAAAGCCCAGAGCTCAGCTAGAAAAAGCGTAGTAAGTGGAAGCTGTGTGAGGAATACTTCGAGCTAGCCATCATCAGTGGCAAACGGGATACTTCTTGCATCATTCTCACTCACGCTAGGGTCGTTCCGGCAAAGGTGATTTTGAACGTACGGAAACGTCTTGCGGTATTCCGTGGCCCTACGTGCACTCACCCTCAAGCTCCCAAAACTCGAACACCTGCACCTTCATCCCCAAGCCCCCAAAGCCCTAATCACATCCCTAAAGCCCCCGTCCCCAAACCTCCCAAGGCCTGTAAGGCTTCCATCCATGTCCTGGAGCAAGAGTTGATCCAGACCTGAAAAGCTCGGCTGCTGGGTTAAGGCTAGTTCTGGCTTTTTTGTTTGGGGGTTTGCCACAGCAACAGCATCATCATCGCCATGGCGATGGTGAGAAGGAACTGGAGAATGACTGCAGATGAGGGCAAGCACCGATGAATCGAGACGAGTCTACTTGCGAACTAGACTCAGAAACCAGAGTGTTAATCTACCAGGCTGTCGGACGCCACATCCCAGAGCGCTCTCCACGAATCATCCTCCCGACCAGAGGATGCTACTTATGCTGTACCGGGATCACCAGATTTCCTGCTTTGCTCTGCAATGACCCGGAGTCGGAAACCCCAGCTTCCAGACCGTGGGCCACGTCAGCAAACGTTTCCGAAAATAGGGGTACCTTACTTTGGAGTCCTTGTAATAAGGATCCTACAATTTAGGGTGCTATATTAGGGTCCCCCATTTCTGACAAGCTGGGCTGCTCGCCCATGCAGCCACCTCCTGTGCTCTTGCAAGGACTGACTCGGCCCCCATAGGCCTTGGCAAGTGGCATGTAGGTGTTCGGAGCCCAAAGGGCCAGATCGCCACCACTGCTGCTGCTGCTACTGCTACTGCTACTGCTACTGCTACTGCTACTGCTGATACTACTACTACTACTACTACGACAACTACTACCACTGCTACTGCTACTGCTACACTTACTGCTACCGCTTCCCAGTCAGGCCCCTGACATCGTCCAGCTTCTCCGTGCTGAGCTCAAACTTTGCATCGTTGTCGGACTGACGCCACCGAGCGATTACCGGATGCGAGTGTCTGAGGCTTACTTGGCAATGAAGCTGTTTGGCCGTGAAGCGTGTTATACTGCAGCAAGCACAGGGCTGGTAATACAAGCTTCAACAGCAGCAGCAGCAGCAGCAGTAGTGACGGTAGTTGCAGTCCAAGTTGAATGTACAGAACTAGAATTGTGGTAGTCGTAGTAGTAGTAGTAGTAGTAGTAGTAGTAGTAGTAGTAGTAGTAGTAGTAGTAGTAGTAGTAGTAGTAGTAGTAGTAGTAGTAGTAGTCGCAGTAGTTGTAGGAGTAGTCGTAGTAGTACTCGTCGTCGAAGAAGCCATGACCCGTGATAAGAACAGCTACAACCTAAGCCTATTGGTGCCAACGTTGTGGTCACTACCTGTATGCGTTCTTCTGACAGCGGCGAACCTATCTGGTAAAAAATGCTTCTATCAACTGCTGGCGATGCTATTTCTTGTCGTCTTTTCCGCCTCCTATCGTGTTGCATATGTACGATAGTAGATGTTCTTTTATTAGAAGCCTGGACGTCCGAAACCTAAACCACTCCTCCAGACCTTTGAGATGGTGTGTCTCCTGGCCTCGTACCAGGTCGTTCTTGTGAAGGAGATCGGAAAGCTGACCTGCTCGGGCATGTATGTATGTGACATACGCGTATGCATACATATATATATATATATATGTGTGTGTATATACATATATATATATACACATAATACAGATGTGACTATATACATATATGTACAAAACAAATGTATACAGTATACAAATATCTACGCGTGTTTTGAGCACGTGCGCGCGCGCGCGCGTGTGTGTGTGTGTGTGTGTGTGTGTGTGTGTGTGTGTGTGTGTGTGTGTGTGTGTGTGTGTGTGTGTGTGTGTGTGTGTGTGTGTGTGTGTGTGTGTGTGTGTACGTGTACATGTGTGTATATATATATATATATAGATATACATATATATATATACTGCATGCATATATATATATATATACACACACACATATTTATAGACATACATACATACGTGCGCGTATATACACACATATTATACATGTATGTATGTATGTATGTATATAAGAGAGAGAGAGAGAGAGAGAGAGAGAGAGAGAGAGAGAGAGTAGAGAGAGGTAGAGAGAGGTAGAGAGAGGTAGAGAGAGGTAGAGAGAGGTAGAGAGAGGTAGAGAGAGGTAGAGAGAGGTAGAGAGAGGTAGAGAGAGGTAGAGCGAGGTAGAGAGAGGTAGAGAGAGGTAGAGAGAGGTAGAGAGAGGTAGAGAGAGGTAGAGAGAGGTAGAGAGAGGTAGAGAGAGGTAGAGAGAGGTAGAGAGAGGTAGAGAGAGGGAGAGAATCTGTTCATTCAGTTTTCTATCTAGGTTCTTTCCTTAAGATTCATTCAAACAGATATTCGTACGCCTTTTTGGCCTGCTTACAAACTTATGAAGTTATGACGCTATATAGTGACTATAGTGTAGAGCCTGGGGCCTAGGATCTGAGTCCAGTCACCGGGACCTGCGGCCTTGGCTACAACTACAAGAGCTGAGCGTGAGGGGAGCCATGACATTCAGCAAGCTTAGTGGGTCGGTCTCCCTGTAGCTGCATCTGCATGGGCGGGGGAGTCCTAAACAGAGTTGCGGGCTTTGGATTTCCCTTCCTCCTCAGCCGGCTCTGGACACTGCACAAACCGTGTGGGGTTGAAACGTTACCGTCAACACGATGAACATAGTCAACAGCAGGACTTAGGTGCTGCTTGTGCTGCTTAATCAGAACGTCTTCTGCACTATTCCACCTGACAACCAGAACTACCGATCTCATGATGTTGCTGCATTTACACCTTGGATGACACCATCATCAGGAGGATGGTGATGATTATATGAAGGCGATGATGATGATGATGACGATCATGATAATGATGAAGTTGTTGATGACGATGGTGATGATGATGATGATGATGATGCTGATGATGACCATGATAGTGGAGATGATGATGATGATGGCGATGGTGGTGATTATGATGTTCGATGGTGCCATCGATGATCATGATACTGGTGATGATGGTGATGGCGATGGTGGTGATGATTGATGATGATGGCGGCTTGGGAAACCATTTGTCAAGGTCGTCATTCAACTATCGCTCTAGACTCTAGGCTGTGTCTCTGCTCTACTGACTTGCTGCGCCTCGGCTGCAAACATGTTCGGTGCGATCGCACGATCCCTGGGTCCAGGATGTTGCGCATTGTTGGGTTCAGTCGCAGATCATGGAGCTGTAAAAATCAAAGGGTGCCGAGTGCATTAGGGCACAGGCGTGTAGCCACAGTCGTCAGACTTCCAGTAAGCGAAATGGGTGTCTTCGAAGAAGACCCAACCTTAGCAGCTTCTCAATAGCCGAAGAGCGCGTGACTCGTTGGAAGCTTGTATTCATGCATGCTGTGGCAGCGTCTAACGTACTTCCCCAAGGTGGTGAACACCTGGAGAGCCAAAGATCGCGCTTCATGGCCAAGGCAGCAAGTCCAGGCCAAGGCAGCAAGTCACCGCTCCCAAAGTGTCGGTCACACGCTCTTGACTCTTGATCAGCTCCGGATGAGAGCTTGGCCCAAGCCCTTCTGCATGTGGATGTCCTGCCCCAGCGCAGGGATTCCGGAGATGATCAGAACGGCCGGACGCAGCAGCATCCCTGAACCTCAAACCTTCTTGAGTTCTGAACTCCGGAAGCCGGTGGCAGTGGACGGATGAGAGCGGCTTACGAACCCACCTGCATGCATTTTTTGTTGCTTGTCATGATTCGCTTGCAGCGCCCCTTGCTCGCGAGGCCATCGCACCCGTCCTTCTCCCACGCCTGGTGGCAACCATTCAGCTTCGGCTGCCTGTCATTGGAAAACGAGAAGAGCTGCCACATAGAATCGTCATCTTCGCTCGACAGGCCCTACGAGACGACTCAGACTTAATAATTAGAAGAGCGCTTTGGGGGCTCCTTATTATACATCTAGTACAATGTCCCCCCAAACCCACATTAATCCCCTGCCGGCACAACTGCCATGGCTCAGGGGAAGAATCAACTTCAGGAGGTCAAAAAATCTCAATCTCTCACGAAGAGTCTTCGGCAGCTGGGGCGGAATTTTACGGGCTCTGTAGGAAAGCTGTGAACCGTAAGCCGCTGAAGGTAATCTATGGGAGTTTCCGAAAATAGGAGTACCGTATTTTGGGGTCCTTATAATAAGGATCCTACTATTTAGGGTACTGTATTCGGGTCCCCAATTTGCGGCAACTGCCATATTGATCATAACAAACTCTCGCGTATTGGCAGCCCATCGACAAAAGCCTTTCTCTCTCGCTCTCACACTCTCTCTTCATGCAGAAAATGCGAAGCCTTCAGTCTTTCGCACAGAAACGGAAGACTCACGGCACCTTCGCTAGAATGTCCCATGTTAAGACCATCATTGGCGTTGCTGCTGATACTAGTACCACTGCTGCGACAAACGGCCCTGGAATTAGTTTCCATACCTGATGGCCCGAAACGGTGATTCCGCAACCCTTTCCGAAAGCGCAAGCAGGCCGGCGACACGCTGTGGACATGAGCCGACAGGCTGAATACTCCATGGTCTCCCAGCAACTCCTGCGGCCAAGAGGGCTTCAACTTTGACTCAAAGTTCACCCATACTGTACTATTCTGGCTCCTCTACACTCTATATACTACTATACTATACCGTAGTCCACAGTGGCGCCTCTGTACCAAAACAGCCCCGAAAGCAGGAAGCCCGAAGGAAGCTCTGGCTTGGCCTCAGGGCTGTCGGGTGTAAGGATTCGTGGATCATGGGACTTAGTACGTAGCTTAAAATTGGGGTTATACGTCCCCTAATTGGGGTTATCCTAATCAAAAACCTACTTATAAATCCCCAGCCGGTCTTCTTGTTGTTCGTCCGGATGGGAGCCACAAACCTCAGACAGCAATCATCATAAGGACCCTTAGAGGGGCCTTAATAGCTATAATAAGGACTTAGTAAGGCCTACTTGAGGAAGTATAGTGCCCCAACCTATGACATCATGACATGGCTCCGCGAACCGTCTACTCGTGCCACCTTGCGCAAGCGGCGGTCCATGCTGAAATAGCAAAGGCCCAAACCTTGTACACTCCATCCTTTGACACAATCACCCCACCTTCAAGATCGTCTACGTAACTGCTGCAGGCAGTTGCCGGAATCACGTCGCTTTGCTCAGGCGCGGGCCCTACGCGTCGCAAACCGATGTCTGGCAGGCATCGATAGGCTTTACGGCTGTCGACACCAAACGGACCCAGGTGGCCATCTTAAACCAGCAAATGAAGCAATGCGCAGCCTGTGAAGTTGGGATCCATGGCTTATGGGGTTGGGGCAGTTAGGCTCGCACGGGTGTACACAGCGGTGCAGAAAACTTGCCGGATGTGCTGTTGTACATGGAGCTGCAAGTGTCCATGTATGGGTCCTGGCTCTGCAGGGCATACTCGGTCTGTCAGATCGAATGCGCCGGCGAGTGTGCATATCGGTTTAGATCCAGAACTCAAGCAAGCAGAGACTGTTACCAACCATCCAAATCATACATCTGCCAGTTCAAAACGACTTAACAGCCTTGCCGAGCAGGGTTGCGTCGGAGAAACAAACACCAGGTGACCTTCAACCTCGGGCTCGCAACTTGGCGCCCGGCGCTGACGGTCTGAGTGCGGCAGAAATTGGACTTCTCACCTAGACAGGGCTTCGCACTTCCAGACCTGCTTGCACCAAGGAGCCCCTTAAAGAAATCAAGACACAGGTACATGTATAGTAATATGAATACACACACAGATACGCATGTGGCTTACACATACACATACACATGCACACATGCACACATACAAACAAAAAAGACTACATATCTTAATATCTTCATACGTTCGTTCACTCATTCGTCAGTCAGTCATTCATACATGTCCAATTACAGACAAAGACATATGTTTACGTGTACGCGTACATATGTAGATGTTGATAGAATATTCCTTCTTCCGGACATGTCTCTTCGCTGGATTGGTAGTTAATGCCTTTCGCGGATCCATCACGGAATTTTCGAGCGACTGTTTGTAGCAGCAGCAGCAGCAGCAGCCAAGTCTGTAATGTAAAACCTTTCGTGGAATTGTTGCTGGATTTCGCCGAGCCAGCATGCATGCATGTATGTATGTATGTATGTATGGCCGTATTTGTGTGTGACGCAAGCATTCGTGTATTTGCGCGGGTGTTTCAGTATGTATGTACGCATGCATGCATGCATGGGTGTGTGTGTGTGTGTGTGTGTGTGTGTGTGTGTGTGTGTGTGTGTGTGTGTGTGTGTGTGTGTGTGTGTGTGTGTGTGTGTGTGTGTGTGTGTGTGTGTGTGTGTGTGTGTGTGTGTGTGTGTGTGTGTGTGTGTGGGGTGTGTGTGTGTGTGTGTGTGTGTGTGTGTGTGTGTGTGTGTGTGTGTGTGTGTGTGTGTGTGTGTGTGTGTGTGTGTGTGTGTGTGTGTGTGTGTGTGTGTGTGTGTGTGTGTGTGTGTGTGTTTGTGTGTGTGTCTGTGTGTTTGCGTGTGTGTTGTCTGTGTCTGTGTCTGTGTGTGTGTGTTGTCTGTGTCTGTGTGTGTGTTTGTTTATATACACGTACACATATGTAGCAAGAGCTCCAATCTACTATTGCTGCTGTAGACGTGTGCAGAACCGCCCTACGGGATGGGTGGAACAGAGGGGACAAGTTCGGCACATACAGCAACTGTGTAGAACGAAGCTGCAGGCGAAAGTATGCTGCATCGCTTCACGACTCCACCCGGCTGATACATCGATTACTTTTGGGATGCTGCATTCGGCTGAACATGTCAGACAAGTTCCTTTCGGAACGAAGGCTTCAAAGACAATGACATAGCATGGTATACTTCATTGCTGGATGTTGTGGGTACGGAACCACATGCATGGAGCTTCGCCAGCAAGCGCCAGAAACCTTAGCGTTGCTTCGCTGAGCCCTGGACAGTTGGTGCCAGCAGGCGATGTGCCGATCAACGTCGAGTTGTGCACGTAAACGCGCCTGCAGAACACTTCCCAGACCAGAAGTCGTGTACCACAAGCAGGCCCCCAGTAACCGAGCTTTCAGGCAGACAAGGTCCACTCGAAGCTGTGAAGGAGTGCTGACGTTCCGGATTCCCCAGATTCGGCGTTCAGCCTTCTTCCGATGAGTATGTTGCTCACTATGGCAACGAAGCTGGGCATGATGTCTTTGACTAATCATGCCGCTGATTGCGCTGATGAAGATGATGATGATGACGAGGGTGATGATGAGAAGGAGAGGTGAGCTACAGTCTGACTGGGCTGTTGGTGTGGCGAACAAGCCTCACCATCTCCTACAAATGAAAAGAGCCAGCTGCAGTAGAACAACAATTCATGCTACAGATAGGTCGACGGATAAAGAGAGGGAGAGAGAGAGAGAGGGAGAGACATATAAGCGATTTGATCGGCCGCAATTATGACCCAGCCGTGTGTGAAATCGATCGGGCCCTTCTAATCCAGACAATGTCGCATGTCGAACTTCCGAAAAATACAATCAGCACAGTACGACAAAAATAGTCTATATGACATACACAAACTTGATCAACATCCCTTGCCCCGGCAGAACCCGTCATAAGTGTTCTAGACTCACTCGATTAAAACCGCATGATACAGTAGGAACAAGTCCTGAAGGCCACACAGAATGACTTTGACTTGCATTGAGCTTCAACCCCTTCTCCTTCGCTGTTTGATCCTACTGTCGTCACACGTGGCCTGAAGGCGGAGCCGATCGAGAGGTAAGGCAGAATGCCTGAAGTCCGATTGCATTGGAGGGTCTAGGTAGAGACTAGGTGGTAAAAATGGGAGCCCTCCTTCTCGAGAGCTGATTACCAAGCAGCACACCCATTTCTTGCCATGACTCTCAGCTAGGGTAGACAACAGTCGGAAGCCTTGAATCCCCCATTTGGCACGTCTGTGCCAGGGTTCTGGAGGCCCCGACCAATGTGGGAGTCCGACACAACCTTCGCAGGACTTCTCATCATTATCATCATTCACAGGTCCCAGCAGTTGAAATATACCTGTCGAGGGCATGTCATATCAGGAATGCACACTCGTAATTAGGTTAAACGCTACATCCCGTTTGAGGGCTCCTTAAGGTGTAGGAGTTTCGAGAATCGAGAAAGGCCGCTTGGAACTAAGCCTCTCTGCTGACAAAATGAATAGACATCCATCAACCGTCTCTGCCTTTCGAAAGCCCACGTGCCACCCAGCACTGTGACCCTAAGTTTCAATGCCCGCCGGAGTGTCGCCAGGTGGTTCTGCATCTGGGAGTTTCCGGCAATAGGCAATAGGGGCACCCCAATATAGTACCCTAAATAGTAGGATCCTTATTATGAGGACCCCAAAATAAGGTACCCCTATTATCGGAAGCTCCCATTTCCTGCTAAGCTCAGTTGGCTTTTCGATGCTGGGCTCGGGGCAATATTTGTCAAGATGGTTCTGGACGGCGTCGTGTCAGACAGGTAGACGCCAGCATGTGCCGCTTTCCACACCTGCGATAGCATCATGTCAATGCAGATTCAGCATCGCAGGTACGGAAAACTTGTCGGTCAGAATGCAACGAACCCATCTTGCCAACACCAGTACTGCAAACATATTCAAAAGCAGGCAAAACAGTATGCAGTTCTGGAAGACAATGCCGGAGAAGCACCTGTAGCCGAGTGTTCCGCGATGAAGGACCCCAAGGTGATGTTCTTGTCATGACGATGGGGCTGCCCGTCGCTACTATGGACGATGCCCAACTAGCTCGAACACAGACCACTATCGCTAAGGTATGCTAAAGCCACCAGTACCACCACCACCATGCACCACGACTTACTTCCGATGCTTTGCATTACTGCTGCTTCTGCTGCCATTGCTACTACGACGACCGCTCCTCCGTGGCAGTGACAGCACAGGGCGCCTTGAAGAGGTTGAAAGTCATGCAGGACCCACCGCGATGTGTGAGAAGGAAGGCCTTGGAACGTGACCCTCCCAGGACAATCTCAAATCTCAAAGGCCATAGCACGGGGTCTGGGCCTGTAGGGCTGCAGCACCTTCTGGCCATGATTTCTGTGTTCTCCGGAGCAGGTTGCCTGCTTTCCGAAAATCTGTCAACATCTTACTTCCTAGGTCGTAAGTTAAACCTCAGCCCTGAATCAAGTCAGAGCCCTTGTATCAACTCTTCCACTAGCAGAACACCCAACTAAGCAATGGCAAATCGTGCATCCGGGGGTCGGCAGGCCCAGTAGAACCGACTCCAAGCACCATCTGGTTAGCAGTAGTAGCAGACAATATAAATAGAATATAAATAGTAGTCACTAAGAATAACAGCAGTAGCAGCCGCAGCAGTCGTGGTCGTCGTCGTAGTGCGGTGGCAGCAGTAGCACTAACGGACATAGCAGCGCTGAAACGACATGCGTTCGAGGCATGAAGTCACCGAAGCTCTGTCGCAACCCCCATATCTCCCATGCCTCTTTTATGGAGCCCTGGCCCCCCCCTCGGGGACCCTTGCATGTCACGCCAATACATACAAAGTACCGGCGAGAAGGCCTTTTCACGAACACTGCGACTCGACCATGCTTCAGGAATTGCTGTTCTTTTTTGAACCCACGCCGAGGCCGAGGCGTGTGACGGGGAAGGGGATTCACTCCCGCTCTCCGAGCAGCCGAGCAAACCCAAGAACACAACACGACAAATACTACTCAAACTGACCCGGCACATGGATACTCTTGCAATGGTACTATGGAAACAGCTCGGGTTCTGGAACGAAACCAGACATTGGAACAGGCTGGCTGACGCATATCTGGATTTCGAAACACCTTCAGCAGCGCTTTGCGGCTGATGTCCTTCCGGATGTAGCAGACTGACATAGGCAGTCATGTACACAAGTCAGGCCGCAACAAAATTCGCAACAAGCGGAACTAGAAATGGAACAGCTCCGGAAAGGCTCTACTGAAAAGCTCCGGAAAACGAAACGAAACGAAGCACATCGGCAGATGTCGGCAGCTGAGCCACTCGTCGCTCTTCTTCAGATTTCTTTGTTTTGAGGGCTCGAATCGGCAGCGGCCGTGAACGCCTCAGATATCTTGTCCTGAGGAGCGAAGCAGCTAGCAATGTCACAGCAAGCTTTGCGCATTTGTGTGGTCCACACGTCTACGAACCCGGTGGCGTACAGAAATGCGAAAGAGCCGCCCAACTGCACCGACATCTTCGTGATCAGCGTGAGTTCCCACAGAAAGCGGAGGTGAGTAAAGACGGTAAACCAAGTTCCAACCACCGCGACTGCCGTCAGCAACTGCATGTTGATCTGATGAGCACGGACATAATCCATCTGCTTCCACGAGCCTCCGGCGCACAAGCGGCCCGTGAACAGCAGCAAATTGGTGGCATCGAAGGTGATGGCCCAAAACGGCCGGATCAAGTACTCGATGCTCTGTTCCCAACGCGCACTGTAGGCCTCCAATGACATGATGTTGCCAACCAAATGGCGAGCCATCACACCAAAGCCATATAGCAACCCAAGGACATGCACCCCGATCATCAGCGATGTGTACTTTCGCCACGAGGGCTTGATGCAGAGCATGGCATTGAGCACCGCGAAGATGTTGAACAGCCCGAACCAAGGCATCAGAATCACGTACTCCTCCATGTTGAGGTCCTGATGGCCTTTCGACGTGGGCTGCGTCCAAATCCTGCAGAACATCACTATGAATCCCGACAGCACTTCCAATGGGAAAATGTCGGCAAAGAACACCATGCCCACACTTTTGTGGGCCTTCTTGTCTAGGAATGGTGATCTCACGAATTGGTGTACCAATAGCAGAGTCATTACCACGGACACCACGTCGTGGAGCACGATCATTGGCACGAGGATGGGGTGATGAGTCGCGTTGTTGCCCAACAAGGTTTTGCCTAGCTCCATCTGCGACAAGTCCACGTTGCGATACCGGAGGATACTGCCAATGGTGTACGCCAGCAAGAGGGCACACGAAACTAGTCCGAATTTCATCGAAGCTCCTGTGACTGTCACAAGGCCGTAGGCCGCGTGATCGATGATGTGCTTTTGATCAATAAAACCTCGAGCCGTAGCCATGCGTCGACGTGCCTTGCATCTTCGATGGTTCGTTCCACTCATGCCTGTGCAATTGTTGTCCCGCCCCGCCCCCCCAGCCCCCAAAGTGCCGATACTTCATTTTTCACGTTATAGCGATCCCTACAACAAAATAAAATGGCTTCCTGGGCGTCAAAACTCCATGGCCGCGGCCCTGGGACGCCCTGGGGGCCCGGCTCCCACGATCACCGCCGTGGCCTCGTTGTTAAACATCGCCCGAGGAGGACAAGGCTCGGCCTCGGAAGGGTGGGGAAAAAAATTGCAGGGCCTACAGAAGGCTTGCAGAGGGGCTTCTAGGCTAGTCTACTATGTTGTATTGTACTATACTGTACCATGCTATACTATACCTGATTATATTGGATCGTGGTATACTCTATCATAATTGTTGTAACCTTAGTGCTGCTTTGAGAATGCGTTTCGGGCTGGCTTGGGCTCTAATGAACAAACGTAAAAATGACACCGTGGGTTGCTTGGAGGTATCAGGGAGAAGAAAAAGCGGCCCAGTGGGGAGATTTGGTTCGGTACGGTACAAAACTACTTGACTAGACTATACTATACATACTGCACCACACTACACTATCCTATGCTCTGTTGTATGATACTCTACTGCAATGTATCATGTTGCGCTATACCTGCATATTAGATGCAAGGTTTAAGTTTCAGGTTCGGCACTGGTGCCGTGGATTCCGGGATTTCGGAATATAGTACAGCATAGCATCGTGTAGTATGTTGGTAGTATCTTACAATACAGCATAGTATAGTGTAGTATAGTATAGCAGGAGTATGGTATAGCTAGTATTGTGTAATATAGTATTATCTAGTATAGAAAAGTCTTGTGGAGTAGGATAAGTGTAGCTTATGATTGTATCTCCAACCCCCCAAGCCCCGACATGTCCGAAGCCCATCACCCCAAGATGCTGCAGACTTCTGTCCAGGCCCCGTACTTGGAGGTTGTAAGTAGGGTTATAAGCAGGGTAACTACACTTGTATCCCATATTAGCGGACTTATAACCACGTATAACTACCCCTGAACCTCCAAGTAGGCCCATAAAGGCTGCACTCCTTCAGGGCTCCGGCTGGGGTCAGGTAGCCCATATCCCTGGAGCCAGCAACGATATTGCCAATCATCCGCACGGGCCTCGAGATCAGCAACTCTCTGCCACGGACCAATCTCAAGCATCAGGATCCATGATGATGACCAACATCATAACTATCATCATGGTAAATAGCCGGCGCAATCACATCGCGGTTGTCCTTAACATCATGGGCAGCACAGTCATAAATTCGCGCAAATGTCGTTGCCAGCATTGCCATTGATGTCGTCTCACCGGTCATCATCACCATCATCATAATGACGCCATCGTTGCTCTTCTTTTTCATCGTCAGAGTAGTAAGCCATCATGGCCGTCAGCATTACCCAGTGCTACCTGCCTCCTCAAAGTGTTTGTGCCAAGGCCAATTCTCAAGATGATGGTCAGGGTGTGGGTGGTCAAGATGATGACAAGACTATCCTATACTATATTATACTATACTACACTAATACTACTTTTACATATTATACTCTTACTATACTAGCATTACGGCAATACTACTGCAGCAGGGGTCATGCGAGCAGCAATATTGGAGCTTCGTGCCTGAAGGGCAGCTTGCCTATGCTATCTTCAGAATTTGCCCGCTATTACTATGCATTCTGATAATACTACCAGTATCAATCTTACTGTCATTATTCCTTTTAGTACTGTCAAGATCATTACGATTATTGCTCTGACTTACGGGTACTGTAACGACGGCCAGTGCCCATCTCCAATCAGGAGCCGGCAGCTGATCCAAGCGAATCCCAGCGTACTGTGGCACCTCGAAGGAGATCCCCCATCTGGGTTTAGGGTTAGGATCCCATGCTCCGAAGGAGACGGGTTCAGGGTTTAGGGTTCAAGGCGTGTTTTTGTTGAACACCTTTCGTCGGCAGACCGTTGCGCCTACGAAAGGTCATTGACCAAAAGTGTAAGTAAGGCTGAGGGTCTAGGGCTTGAGGTCTTGGGATTCAGATTAGAACGGGTGTAACCCTAAACCCTTTCTTGATCCTTCCTGAAAGGTCTAGGGTACACGATTCAGAGCTCCTCGGCCGGTCGATTTAGCTGCACGCACATAACAAAGAAGGAGAACGGCCGAATTTCCAGGAAGATGCAGCTACCTTCACGTCGTACCGATGTTGACACTTACGAATAGCAATAGACAAGCTTTCTCTTTAGAGAGAATATGCTGATGTTCATGAACAGAAGTAAACAATAGACGTAACCAAGCTCTCTCATATACATGTGTGTACGGTACATACAAGTATGTACAAAACACACACAGATATATATGTATATATATATATACATATACACATGATTTGGTAGACAGAGGCATGGATAATGCTTCTGATGTGGCAGGGTGCGGAAGAGAGCGAGGAGAGGGAGAGAAGGGCTGTGAGAACACATCAGCAAGGGGACAAGTTCGTCCAAAGCTGAGACAGCAGTCGAGCTCCAAGCAACCACATCCGTCTCCGATTGCAGCGTCCTGAGACCCATTGGCGCCGGAAGAGTGCTTTCAAAGTTCCCCTGAAACCCCTGAATCCTCAGCCTGGCCAGGTTGCAGCTGGTGTAATTCAGGGGCCTTGATAACTACGAATACTACTTTTTGTGGTTCCTTATTATAACTATAGGTTAATGGGCCCCCAAACCCTATTCTAATTATTGAGGCGCTTATATCTGGTGCCGAGTTACAAGAAAGACACCATCTAGAACTGGCCAGGGGGGCTTCAGACATAGTGACGCTATAAACCTGAAACGGCTAGTGCGAGCGAGCATCATTCGCGGAGCCGTGTCTGCCAGCTTGAGACCTAGCACGGATCGATATCCGTTGCAAGATAGCAAAGGAAACCGACAAGGAGCTGTCCAAAAGTGTTCTGCGTCTAGCTTAATTTGTGGGCCAAGACACCAATGATGGCATTATCCTTGATCTGCACGGCAGCGGATCCCTGCATGCGACAAGTCAACATGAACCATGTGGACCAGATCTGCTGAAACACTGGGGCCACTGAAGATGGACGGCTGTCTCGGAGCTGGTCTCAAAATGCCGACAGCTTGCAAAGAGCTATACCAAAGCGAAACCTTCTGAGAGAAGATGCCGCCATTCATTGAGCGGAACATCACCTCAGCACTCCAGCTGCTTACATCAGGAAAAGCCGCGATGAGCAGATGATACAGTAGCTGTGGCACCTTCACCCTCAGGCACCAACATCAAGCCCTCCTAGCCGGAAATCCTCCAACGGCAGTCTCTCTACATTATCTTCATCGGAATGTTGCTGCTCATGTGACTCTTACCCCGTCGCTACTGCTTTTGCTGCTTTATTGGTTGACTTGTACTGGCATCGTCAGTCGATCCCAGAGAGCCGGACGTTGTTGGTGATGAGGACTGGCGAGTTCGAGGACTCCAAGTGGAGAGCATACTCCTGGCAACTTGTCGCTTTGACAACTTGAGGCTGGGTCTAGGCCTATCCCACTTCCCACTTGCTGGGTTTTTGCTAGCCCCAGAAAGGTCAAACACGTTGAGAGATGGTAGGCCTAAGCCCTAAACCCTCGGATTCAAGGGCCCCGAAAAGCTTAAACTTCACCGAATCTTCTGCTTGGACCTCCCGACCGGATAAATGCAAGCCGGATGCGAAGGCGACCCGCGAGGTGGCGATACTCACTAACTATTATAAGAACACGCATGTATGCATTATGCATGTATGCATGCGACGGGGTGTGATGTGGTGTGATGTGATGTACGATGTATGACCTATGATGTATGTATGTGTGTGTGTCTATGTTTATGTTTATGTATGTATATGTGTGTATGTGTGCGTATGTGTATGTATGTACGTATGTATGGATGTATGTGCGTACGTACGTATGTACATATGTATGCGTGTATGTATGTATGTATGTATGTATGTATGCATGCATGCATGTATGTATACTGTAAGTGCATGCATGTATGTGTATGCATGCACGCATCTGTGCATGTATGTATGTATGTATGTATGTATGCATGTATGTGTGTGGTACAAGTATGTGTGTATGCATGTATGCATGTATGCGTGTATGTATGTGCATATGTCTGTATGTGCATATACACACATATGTTGTGTGTGTATATACCTATACACATACTTTATATGTAATGAAACATATGCTTCCAACCACTCCTATCACTACCACGCCAACGCAAGTCACCTAGTCCAGTACAAGTCAAAGCAACACGGGAAGGAGGAGGAAGAGGAAAACGACGGCGAGGCGGCAGAGGAAAGTTGCTACCGCATGTCACTACTGTGTGGTTGTCGCTGTCGGTGTTCCTGATATTCGGATGTGTGACACAACGCCGCAACTATCCGAAACTCGAGGCCCGAATTCCTCAGACCGCCATCCCGGGAGATCTTCAATCATGGGCCAGGATGGCGACCGAATCCGTCCACGAGTTGCCGTGGAAGATGAGCACCGGGGGAGGCTCCTGAGCTAGGCTCTGAGACTCTTAGGGCCGTACAGGGCTTCAGAGCTTCTTTAGATTTCTTGGGGGTTGGGGCTCAGGGCGACCTAAGGTACAGGGCTTTAAAGGGTTGAGGCTCGGGCTTCAGGGCGTAGAGTTTGGCGCAAGCGCATAAAGTTTGGAGGTGACATATAGAACCGCACAGATGCGAGGGAGCCACGGGTTCTGGATTCGAAGAGCCGGCAAACTCAGCTTCTGACGAAGTTGGAGGCATAGGTGATCTTGACTGCCTCGGCAAGACGGACTGCTCACCCAAACTTGTCTGATTGCTGCGGCCAGGACATGACCCCAACTTCAATTAAGCCACCATGACCAGGCTTTTCAAAGGCTGCACATATTGCGTTCAAATGGATGGATGCCGGGATGGATGGATTCATGGATCGATGGCCGGATGCAGGACAGATGGAAGGAACGATATATCTGCATGTTAGCAAATCCGTAGAGCTATATGCCACCGTGTGTGACGAATTTGACCGTATGCAACGTATTCAGGTCTGCACAGATGTTACATACCGACACCATGTTACGTCATCTTCACTGTATACATATGTGTGCATATGAGCAAATGCATACGAGATACTTATGCATGAATGTACTGCTTAGTCCATACACACAGGCTTATGCACATGTGTCACAGTGTAACCTCTATCCTGACATATCCTGACAGGGATGTGTTCAGAATCCTTCTGGCCTCCGACCCAAGCACCCCAAAGGAGGCCCGAAAATCAAAGGCCCGAGTCTGGCACAGCTGAGAGGGCTCCTTTTCCCAGGTTGTTGAAGCGGGTGTACCTCGTGCCGCAGTTCACTTCTAAGTCTGTCTCCGAACCCTTGATGTATTCCGGTGTTTCGGGAGCCAAAGAGGAGCGCTTATCTGTCGTACGCGGTTCAGGTGCTATCGGCCCACCTGTGTTGATGCAATCTATCTGCCTAGTCATCTACCTATCTATCCATCCATCTGTCCATCTGTCGATAATCTGTATGAAAGTGTGTGTGTGTGTGTATATATATATATATATAGATATTAAATATAGCTTTGTATAAACCGCACACGCGCATATCTACACACACACACACGTATACATATGTATGTATGTATGTATGTATGTATGTAAGCTATGTGTATGTGTAGGAGTATATGTATATGTATATGTACATGTGTATATATATATGTGTGCGTAAACACATACAAGCACACACCAGCTCATTCAATACACTATCTTTTCCATTCACTTGATTCTACTACATTGTATTGTCTTCTAGTCTAGTCTAGCTGCCTAGCTGCCCAGCTGTTCCTCCCGAGATTTGAACCCTCACTGAGGCAGCAGCTGGAAGGCGCATTCACCTCAGAAGCTATTCGACGGCAGCGAGATGCACTGGTAAATGCAAAGCCTGAAACCTTTGGGTGCTCCTACATTCTCCCACAACGGCTTCCAAAAGCAACTCCTGCGAGAAGCAGGTACGACCTTCTTGCGGCACAGATGCCCACCATACTGCTGCCAGCCAGATCGCCCAGAGCCCTGAGAGAACATAGATGACGTAGATGGCAGTCAGTATGAATAAGATTTCAATTGCAGGAGAGCGTGAGGGCTTCGAGGCAGAGAGCCCAATCAGCAGGATCTCCCTTTAACCACTTCTTCCAACACAAGTAATGCTCCGAAGGCTAGGGCGAATGCAACCAGACAATCGCGTGGGCAGAATCTTGGTGGTGATGAAGCTGCTGAGGGTGCTGGTGGCTGCAGCGGCTGCGATGGTGATGGTGATGGTGTTGGTGGCAGACTGGCAGTGGCGTGGAGATATTGGTGCTGCTACTGCTAACGATACCGATGATGGTGATGGTGGTGGTGTTGGTGGTGATGCTTGGTGCTGGTGCTGGTGATCGTCAGGGTCATGGTCATGGTCGTGCTGGTGGTGCTGGTGGCGGTGGTGGTGGTGGTGATGGTGGTGCTGGTGGTGGTAGTCGTAGCATGGTAATGGTGATAGTAGTGGTAGTGGTAGTGGTAGTGGTAGTGGTAGTGGTAGTGGTAGTGGTAGTGGTAGTGGTAGTGGTAGTGGTGGTGGTGGTGGTGGTGGTGGTGGTGGTGGTGGTGGTAGTGGTAGTGGTAGTGGTAGTGGTAGTGGTAGTGGTAGTGGTAGCGGTAGCGGTAGCGGTAGCGGTAGCGGTAGCGGTAGCAGTAGCGGTAGCGGTAGAGGTAGCGGTAGCGGTAGTCGTAGTGGTAGTGGTAGTGGTAGTGGTAGTGCTGGTAGTAGTGTAGTTGTAGCAGTAGTATTCGTGGTGGTAGTAGTAGGCGTAGTCGTGGTGGTAGACGTCGTAGTAGTAGTAGTAGTAGTAGTAGTAGTAGTAGTAGTAGTAGTAGTAGTAGTAGTAGTAGTAGTAGTAGTGCTAGTAAGTAGCAGTTGTAGCAGCAGCAGTGCAGCAGCAGCGGAAATAGCCGCAGCGTGCAAATCGAGGGGGCTGCGGCTCTTTTGTGCACTGGCATCCGTCATAGCTGGGCGAAGATGTACGGCAATGTGGCCTTCTCCGCCGCGGCATGATCTGTGCAGTTAGGCTCGCCGCCCTGCTCGTTCACAGGTGATGCCTCAGCGTGGGGTGTGTCTGAGCCTAGTCCTAGTGGCTGGTGGACATCGGCCAGTCGAGGCGCCTCAAAATCAAGGAGGCTTGCCTGGTCCAGTAAATCCTGAAGCGGACTGTCGGGGTCCTCCTCTGCACGGAGAGCCACCACTCGGACGCCCAGGATCTGCGTGGCCAGTGCCAGCAACTCGGGCATGGTGGTGTCCGGTGCCACGGTAAGCATCGTGCTGCAGGGGCCGTTCGGATTCTCGATCTTCGGCTGAGCTCGGTGCACATAGAGACGCACCCTTGGAGGGGCTGGGCGTCTTGCCACAGGATCTATCTTCCAGAGCTCGTACTCGGAGCCTGGAGGAAAGGCTAACAACCGAGCCTCCACTCCATCATTTGCAGGGAGTCGGACAGCCACACGGCCAGTCCACTCTTTCTCTCCCCCTTTTCCTTGCAGACTGCAGCAGGCTGGCTCGCTGCGAATTGCCACAAAGATCTTACCCAAATCGTGCGCCTCGGGGTCTAATATCGAGAACTGTGGGGCGACGTGGGTGCAAGATGTCTTGAGCCTGGCCGTGAACTCCAGGCGGCGTCCGTCCAGAGACAAGGACGGCTCGGGTTTGGCAAGGATGGTATACGGCGCTCCAAACTTTGCACTGACATTTGCCAGAGCCGCGGCGTCGTAGTACTCATAAGGTGCACATGCGGATGCTGCCGCAATGCAGCACAGACCCAATCTGGACGGCAGCCACATGGCTACTCTGCCTGCACTGCCTGAACAGCTGGAAATGCTGCAGAGGTCGCGATGGTCCTGGTCTCACAGATGTTGTCTTCTTGCGAGAGCCTTTGATGATGAGCACTGCCGCAGCAACTGTGCCAGTTTCTCTTGTGCCGGTATTGTGTTTCCAGTACTGTTGCAGCAGTTTCTGCCATTATGTTGTGAGGTATGGTTACTCAATCTGGTGAAGCAGGTCATTCTCCGATAACTCTGGGTGCTGGCTATCATCATAAAACCCACCGTCAACATCATCACGACCATCTTCCTGCCCATCGGCATCCTATGTCATCCTCATCTGTGTAAAACTCCACTCTGCATCTGTAATCGGTAGCGGCAAGAAACTCCAAGTCGAGATCACTGCTGGACATTTTACTTTACACCTACCCAAGCGTTGCATTCGAGAATTTACTACCCCATGTTCAGCAGCTACACACCGCGGAAAAGTGCAGACTCCCATGCTGGCTTCATGTTTCCCTGAGTCACTGACACGTCGAAGACTTCGATGTGACCTCTGCAAGGGCAAGTGCTATCGTCAAATTATGTAAGCTGCGGGTAGCTAACCTTATCCCAAAATCCCCCAGCGTGACGGCTTCCGGGTTGCGATTCTGAGTTGCTTGGGCTTGCGAACGCATTATCGGGGCTGAGGACTGCAGATGAATGCATCGATCTGCATATCTTGACTCCGTCGTATTGGAATCCACTCAAGCAGCCAACCTGGCATTCTGAAACTCGTGCTCATCCCTCCGATCCGGGAAAGTCGCAGACTTCCCCACATCCCAAACCCTACGTCCCTTGAAGATCATCTTGCAACACCCCCGAAGGACCCTTGCGGGGCCCTGTCCCAAAGCGGCCAACCTCCATAGGCGCTGCCGCCAGTGCCATCAATCTCACGCGACTCGATGATGACCTTTAAGGGATTTGCAGGTTGCGAGGTGCCTCAGGTTCATGATCGGTTACACGGAGCAATGGACCTACTTCAGAGCTCAGTGCCATCGGACTCGAAGCTATGTCTCTTCGTCTTTGGGACTTGAGGTCTGGGAATCTTGTGTCTCTTAGCGTGCAGAACACCCTTGACAGTACGTGCCATCCGCTCGAAATGTCGCAGATGCCTGTCTAACTCAGGCACAGAAGAACCATTCCATGAAGCTGCATGTGTCTTGCTAATGGCTCCTATGGCTGTCGCCGTCAAGTTGTTTACCATATGGCAACCAATGTTTCAGTGACCGAGGACAGCATGGGCCAAACGTGTTGGAGAATGGTGTGATTCGTGCTCCGGTGTCTCGCTTGCTTCAAGGGCTGATCTGGTCTGCCTTTGCGGAGCATCCATCACCGAAAACCATGATGCGTACTATAGGGGCCTTAATCGTCAGAACAGGGTTTTGGAGCCCAGTATACTACAAAAAAGAACAAGGGCCCCCAAGTTAATCTAGATGATTATTAAGGCCCCTATGTTATCTATGACCAACCTACAGGAAAAGACAGCTCCCGGCTTTGAACTATCTAGATCTAAGGCAAGGCACCGTTCGGTCAAGGCGGGTGACGATGCCCCGCAGCGAGACCTGGCGAAAAAGCAGGGAAATAAGGATAGGCTCAAGTGGGCAACTGTCATTCCCGAGCTATCATTAACCTCATTAACCGTGTCTCTAACTGTCTTCAGAGTAAGCAAATAATATGACTATGCAATGACAAGACCGGAATCCCTAACCGTCAACATCTGTTACACTGCAGTGGCGATATCCGAAACGTCCTGTGATAACCCGATGAAACACCACATCAAAACGAATGTGGCAGTCCTGCAACCTGCCGTGTGGTCTGCTTCGTCACGGATTGGCTTGCCCTCTTCTGTTGGCTCTCTATCCTCACCTCTTCCCGCATTTCCTGGCATATGTCTATGCATTCTACTACGGGCTCCCTTGGCCCCAATATGCCTTCTTGCCGCCACCGACTTCGATGTCGTCAGCGAAGCGTCGCTCACCCAGGCTGCCTGAAAAGCGAAGCCTGCGATGCTGCAAGGGAGCTGATTCTGTGGTAGGTCAATACCCAGCTGTCCAGATAGAAGTTCAGTTCTTGGGCAGCATGATCTTGTGATTAGGGGATATGACATCTTCTGGATCTTCTGGTGGATGACAGCTGACAGCATGTTGGAGATTGTTGGAGGTCAAGAACCGAGGCGAAGGAAACACAAGGGCATTGGTAGTGTTGCAGCTGGAGCGCATGTCGAGTCCCTGGGCTGAACATGTTCGGCTGGATGTCGGACACCGGAAAGCTACCGAAATTCCGAGAAGGCAGGACAAAATGCAGCAACTGTTGATACAGATTGCGCATGCCGAAAAAGTGCTACGAGTAGAAGACAGTGCGTCGCCTGTAGCACCCATTCTCTTCATCGTATTCCTCAGAAAGGGAGCATGCAAGGATGTACCACTCCCACAGCACACTGTAGCTATGTTGAACGCTGCATTGACGCGCTGCATGTCATGGCTCTGAGTCAGACTGGTGCTTAAGCCCGCAGCAGGAGCTTCTGTGAGAGTGCGAGACACCGTGCGATCCCAGGGATTGTCGAACCTGGCTTAGACCCAAGCAGCTCTGCATGTCGCCCGGCCGGACATGAAGCACCCTGAACTAAGACCATGCGTTTCATGGCGCAAGGCCATTGGGATGAGGAGCAATGTATAGTGCATGCTACTTTGTTACTAGGCCGTAGTTGCAACACCATAGCCTGCTTCCCACCCTGCGCAAAGATCGCCATGGCGGGGTGACTCCGTCGGCGAAAAGCCCACAAGGGCACCGGCCGGCCACTCCAGGGGCCTTCGCATCTCCGAGGCTCTGGGCCGTTACGGCGACACTACCGTGACTGTGGCTGCGAACAACAGGATGGTGAGGATAATGATGGTTATGAATCGAAGGTACATATCAGTGCCATCGCGGCCATTATTGCTCATGTTTCTGAGTATTGCTTAAGAATTCATTGCTTAAGAATTTGAGGGGCTGAATTTCGACGCACATAGTGATAATTCACCCATGGGCGGTGTGCCCTTGACCTAAGAATTTGAGCCCCCACTGAAATCTGGACCCAGATTCTTAACTCCTGGTGCTGTGCACAAGCAGGTCTGGTGTTGGAAACCTCCAAATTAAGAATCTGAGCCCTCAAATTCTTACCCCCTACACCTGTTCACAAGCAGGTCCCGGTGTGGAAACCTCCAAATTAAGAATCCGAGCCCTCAGATTCGTCGCCCCTAAACCTACACACAAGCAGGTCCCGGTGTGGAAACCTCCAATTAGCCCCTACACCTGTACACATGGAAACCTCCAAATTAAGAATCTGAGCCCTCAAATTCTTCGCTTTTAGTACGACTGTACACAGCAGGTCCCGGTGTGGAAACCTCCAAATTACGAATCTGAGCCCTCAGATTCTTCGCCCTACACCTGTACACAAGGTTTCCGGTGTGGAAACCTCCGAATTAAGAATCTGAACCCTCAGATTCTTAGCTCTTAGTAGGACTGTACACAAGCAGGTCCCGGTGTGGAAACCTCCAAATTAAGAATCTGAGCCTTCAAACTCTTACCCCCTACACCTGTTCACAAGCAGGTCCCGGTGTGGAAAAAGAATCTGAGCCCTCAGATTCTTAGCTCTTAGTAGGACTGGACACAAGCAGGTCCCGGTGTGGAAACCTCCAAATTAAGAATCTGAGCCCTCAGATTCTTAGCTCTTAGTAAAGCAGGTCCCGGTGTGGAAACTTCCAAATTAAGAATCTGAGCCCTCAGGTTCTTCGCCCCTGCACTTGTGCACAAGCTTTCCGGTGTGGAAACCTCCAAATTAAGAATCTGAGCCCTCAGATTCTTAGCTCTTAGTAGGACTGTACACAAGCAGGTCCCGGTGTGGAAACCTCCAAATTAAGAATCTGAGCCCTCAAATTCTTCGCCCCTACACCTGTACACAAGGTTTCCGGTGTGGAAACCTCCAAATTAAGAATCTGAGCCCTCAGATTCTTAGCTCTTAGTAGGACTGTGCACAAGCAGGTCCCGGTGTGGAAACCTCCAAATTAAGAATCTGAGCCCTCGCAGCGAGACGTGTTCCTTCTTCGAAGGACGGGTTTCGCCACCTTCGTCGGACGCCATGGACACAAGCTCCATCGCTTCACCATCAGACATTGCAGGAAGACACCTATGTTCTGAAGACCGCTTTTTTGGAGCAGTGGTATATCGAGCTCTTCAGTGGCTGTGGTCCCTGGTTCAAGCCTCAGCTACGAATGTGCTAAGAATCTGAGCCTCCCTCGAGGCTGCGAAGCGGCTGAAACATGATGGTGTCGCAGACAAGCAGACTTAAGAATCTGAGCCTCCCTGAACAGATCCCAACAGATTCTTAACCAACGCCTTCACTGTATGCTGAGGCCCAGGCCCTACATACCCCTTAACCCGAAACTCCCACTAGATCTCAATTCCGCAATCACACCTGCAAGAACTGCGGCCTGAACCCCAAAATACCACAACCCTGAACCCTAAACTCCTAAATCCTAAACCACTGAACCCCAAAACTCTTCCCGGCCCGGCCCGGTAGTGTTCCAAACGCATGCGGACTCGTCGTTCTCGCCGATCGTCATTGCCAGGCGAAGCCTTTGAGGCTTTAGGAAAGAAGCAGGGTCCAAAGAAGATTCGAAGTGTAGGTCAGGGCTCTCGTGCTTCAAGGCTTGGCGTTCTGGGCACATGAATGCCACCCTCCATCGAATCTGGTTTAGGGCTGTGCCTTTGTTGAATTGGCTCGGCTGTCCTTCAGACCTCCAAGATCCTTTGAGGGGATGAACTCTTCCATCCTCTCCATCCGGGCTCACAACACCCCGCAGCTGCAGCGCAAGCTCCCTGTTCAAGGAAGCTCCCCAAGGCATCGGCCAGGTCTCGTCGATGGGAGCGCCATAGGTTTGGAACTCAGTCAGCCGCGACAGCTTGGTGATGTCGATTCGGCAAATCTCGCTTCCCCATGCCAACTACAGCTGGATTCTAGCCAAGACGCCCGAAACACGCAGTGAGTCAACGTGGCTCCGAAAGACAACTGTTGGCCCTCCCTGGCTGCCGTTTCGGTAAAACCCGTCAGCCAGGACACGAAATTCTAAATCCCAACCAAAAACCTAAACCCCTAAACACCTAGTCACACTGTAAGCTCTTGATCGGGCTTCGGTACTTGGCTCCCTGCAGTGCCCGGCACGGCGATCACCTGCAGAAACCAAAGCATGGCCGAAGGCTACAGAGTCTGCAGCGTTTAGAGTTTAGGGCTGCTTACCTTTGGTTACTAGGGAATGGAAGAATGGTAGTAATAGTAGTTATAGTTGTACCCCATTCCTACTAACCCAAGGTAAGTCTTAGGCCGGGAGGGGGGGGTGTAGAGCTTCTGGGCCTGGGAGTGCTCATTGTTAGGGCTTGGGGGTCTTCGGTGGTCCTGTGAACCCGAACACGTGCGAGGTGCTCGGAATGCTTGCCTCGTAATGTCAGTCCATGTCCAATCATCTCGTATATATCTAGCAATAAGGAACACTAGGGAATGGTATTCCAAACTACTCAGACCACTATAAGTATACTGGTGTAGAAACAGGATCCAAGCCTTGCCCCAAAGGCTCTGCTCCTCCACGTAGACGTAGTCCTGATGCTCAGCCATGACCCAGTGGGTTGTTCGTTGTTGGCACTTGCCTGCAAGGTACCTAGTTCAGTCTCAGGTTACAACCTGCGATTGCGAGGAGGGGACGAGGTGGAACCACAAAGAACAGGCCCCAACATAGCACCGGCACAATCTATGAAGGGACTGCATCATGGTCCCAACCCCGATGAGCAGGCAAGCGAACAGGTCCTCCGTGTTCAAGACATATCCACGAAGCACGATCGTCGTTGTCTTCCCCGTCTCAGCACCGAAAGGCTTGTCTTTAGTACCTCAGAGGCGAGAGCAAGTTCTGATTCCGTCAACGCGACCGTGACTTGACCAAGTGATAGACACTGCTTGTGAGTGCAGCACCGTCTGTCCCTCTACCCCTAGCTTTCTGAAAACCCGATGTGTAGTTATGCAAGTGTCATCAACATGTGAGGCCTGGATGAGGGATTCTGAGAATGTAAATCTGCAGCATCTTGCTCCGAATCGCGCTGCCAAGCGGCCGATCTCCAGCGTTCCCCAAACCAGGATGTTGTCTGTCAGGCAGGCCAGGCTCGGGGGTAGTCGGCTTGGATGTGTCTCTGTCGGGACAAAGCTGCGGAAACGGGGGTGCTCCAAATCATCGTTCTCTGCTGCACAAAACGAGGAAGCCCCATTTGTTCTAGCATGTTGTATTCGATGGCAATATAAGGTCTGATGTTATGCGATACTACACTATATTATCAGATAAATTGTATTACACACTGCAATTTCAAGTCTGCCGGCCGGCCTGTGACGAAATAGCGATCTTCACCTTTCTGCAGAATCGGGCGGTCAGATGAGGGAGGGCAAAACAGTAGGGTTTGGGGTTTTGGTTATGTCATATGGGGCTTCTGATTTTGCCACTGGGGCCATAAACCCAAAATGCAACTAAACCCCAAAACCTCAAATCCTGCTGGCTAAGCCTGGCATACAGATGCCTGCTGCTCTGAGTCGCACCTTCCTTGTCTGCGAGGAGTGGTATGACTTGGTCGCAGAAGCCGTGCTAATCACAACAACTTACTGTAAGAAGAGCATAATTAACGACCATATCAGCAACAAAAACCACATCTGAGAATCCAGCTGTCGTCGAAAGACAGCTTGCCGTAGATCGTGAGGTTCTTGACACGTACGTCCGGCAGGTCCATCATGATCCAGTCCTCTTTCTTGATCTCCACCACCTCGCTGGTAGCATCACCTGAGCAACACCGGGAAAAGCTAGATCCTGCTGACTTGCGAGTGCTACAAAAGCCTCTGATGTTCGATGAAGAGGATTGTTGCATGATTCCGTGCTCCCTAAGCCTGAAGCGCTAACCGTGAAACTGACTCTTCTACTGATTCTTCTGTCTACATATTCGTGGTGGTAGAAGTAGTAGTTGCTGTCGTCGGCCTGTCATAGTGGTGTATGCAGTGTAGTAGTTGTTGTTGCTGCTGCTGTTGTTGCTGTTGTTGTTGTTGTAGCAGCAGCAGCCGTAGCCGTAGCTGTAGCCGTACCAGCAGCAGTAGCAGGAGTAGTATAAGAAGTATTAGTTGCAGCAGCAGTAGTAGTCGTCGTCGTCAGAGTAGGAGTGGGTAGTTTGTTGGTGTTGGGTGGTAGTAGGTGCTAACAGACGGCAGTTGCTGTACGTGGAGGTTTTTGTGGGTGGCATAAGGTGGTAGTAGGTGTTTGTGGTAAGCGGCTGCAGGCAGCAGCGGTACATGGTAGCAGGTAACATCGTAGTTGGCAGTAATTACTAGGATTACCATCAAGATCCACGGTTGCTCTCTTGGATTTTGCAGCTGAGTTCCCTGCCAAACTTCTCGCTCCACCTCGGTGGCCAAGTCACTGAGCCCACCATCAGGCTGGCCGTGTCTGCATAAACGGGATCTACATGGATCAGCAATCTGGACTCTGCGGCCAGGATGTGCGGGCCCTGCCCTGTTCCCAAAATCAGACCATCTGGCAAAGTAAACCTTGAACTCTGGAACAACCATGAAAACCTTCGCCCCTGGAACTCCGTTTCCAGAACAACAGAACGGCGGAAGGTCAGATCGCTGGGTGGTGCACAGGATGTAGTGCGACCAGTTCTGCTGCCGGTCCGGAAGACCTCGGTCGCAGTGACACAGAACCCCAAAGAACCCTCTAGAGAGAACCCTCAGAGAAATAGAATGAAATAGAGGTCCTTATCGTCTTATAGCGCCAACCCTTGTAGTAGCCCTTATAGTATCTCGGCTGCGATCCATGGCCATGACAGTTGTCACAAAAATGCGCTTCTCCAGCCGGCTCCCCTTGCACTTCTTTCTTAAACAGGCTCTGGCACAATTGCGCATTGCAGCACGGGCGGGAATACGATGGATGACGAGAACAGCAACCTTGCTCACACTGACAGAAACAAAGAACGAAGTACGCCGGCAGAACGATGGCGATGATGAGGATGATGACGATTAGCCTCATACCCATCATCTTTATCATCACCACCATCATCAGCATGACCCTTCTCCGAACAAATCGAAGCCCCCAGACCAAACCCTGACAACCCTTCAAGCCCGAGTCCCAGAGTCCCGGCAACCCGCAAGAGCCACAGAGCCGGGATCCCGGGCCCTGCAAGCATCCCTCATCCGGGCACTTGCGCGCCTGGGCACGGGGCCCATGGAAGTCATGTTGGAGTCTGTGGAGAGAGAGCGGGCGTAGGGCCAGTTAGAGACTCACGTGCTGCAAGAAGACACGTGTGAAAGAAGAATACTGCTGTAGACCCTTTCTATCCTGCGTTTCTTGAGATCCCCCTTCCTCTTCCTCTGCTAAGGCAACAAGAAGCACCTAATTAGAATAGGGTTATGGGGCCCATTATACTACACAAATAATAAGGAACCCCCCCCCCCCCCCCGAAAATAGTCTAGGCGGCCTCGAAGTGGGCGCTCATGGGCTCCTGCTCCCACGATGGCCCTCCGGCCTCAGAGGATGACGAGGCGGGGGTGGGGGTTAAGGAGTTTAGGAGTTTAGGAGTTTTGGATTTAGGATTTTAGGGTTTATAGGGTTTAAGATTCTAGGGGTTCAAGGGCTTAGGATGCTAAAATCTAGAGTTTAAAGTTGGGAGATCTGGAGGTTTGAGGGCTCAGGGAGTCGGAAAGGTCATGAGAAAGTTTCCACAAACCATCCAAAGAGCATCAGATTCCACCTTCTCCCGAATTTCGCCGAAACCCTAAACTCCTCAAACCCTAATCCCAAAACCCTTGACACCCTAAACCCCTGAAGCCCTAAACCTAATCCCCAAAACCTGCCCCGGGCCGAGAGCCGGGAGAGGGAAGCGGAAGTTCATGGCCCAGCTCTTCGGGTCCTCGAGGACTCCAGGTTTACATAGGGCTCCGGGGCTTCATTTAAATTGAACCACGCAGATTTTAATCTCTGCTCCGGCGTCCAGAGAGTTTAGGGTATAAGTTTAAAGCTTGGGGTGCCGGGGCTTCCACGTTCTACTTCTCTTAGGACGGTTTGGGTTGGCGCGCCGATCTGCTAGACACCACGGATCGGACAGAAGACTTCAAGAAGCTGCTAAATCTAGAATTTAAAATTTGTATGAACCCCCGCCCTCCTAGTATGTAGACGCTAAACGGCAGGATTATGCAGGATCTCTGTGATTCTCGGACGGCAAGAAACAAGTGGAAAGGTGCGTGTTACGCCGCACGAGATCTTCGACTCTGCGACCAACCCTCAAAAGGAACCCTTGATTTCAGAAGCCCCGAAAACCCCAAAGACGGCCTCCCCAAAGAAGCCCAGAGTCCTTCCAACCCCTAATAACCCTAAACCCTGAACCCTACACACCCTTTACACAATCCTGAACCCTAAACCCTGATCCCCAAACTGCAAGTCTTTGTGGGGCTTCCGGTCCTTCATGCCGTGAGTCATGGATGGCAGGTTTTCCGGCTGCTCCAGTGGGTCGGGCTGCGTGAGGTAGGGCCTGTGCCACTCTATAAATGTGGTACACGATAAGATAATATACTATAATGATCTGTAGTATGCTATAGCATGCTATAACATTCCATACGATGGTGGACTAGGGTGGGATCCTGCTATGCACTTGTGGCCCAGTTCTAGATGCCGGTTAAGAGGAAACTCGGAGGAAACATCACGTTTCGGAAGCCTGTCTTTCATTGCCTTACAGCTCTCCAAGAGCACTTAGCACAAAACTTCATAGCAAGGTCAAAACCAGTCAAAACCGCAAGGTCGGTCGGCTTCCCCTGATCAGCGCCTGTACTCCTCGAAGCTCTGCGCTTGCAGTTCCGCCGTCTGCAGAGTATCAAGATGCAGAATGCCGGCAAAAGACCATGATGGGTGCAATGCTGGTGGTGTTAAGAACGCGGTGTAGTGGCATACGACAATCAACAGAAGCAAAAGTACACTAATATCAAGAACGCGCCAACAGTGTTCCTACACTCCAAGCATTTCGCCCCCTGTGTTCTCAGCTTGCAACAGCTTCCCTTCACGCTTAGAAGTGTCTTTCTAGTGTCCGCTTTAAGTCAGCGGGATATTGGTGGACTCGGCCATGCTACGCCCCTTACTGCAAGCGCCGCGATCCGGCTACGGAAGACATCCGACAGCCGAAGAACAACCCCTCAATACAGTCTTCTAGAACTTGCACGTACTAGAATCGAGATCAGAACCTGCTCTTTTCTCGCCATTACCTACCTACGGCTAGGATCTCAAAAGTAAGGACCCGGTTTGGGGTCTTGGGCTCCAGGGGACAGCCCAAGAAACATGAACACTGCAAAGCCTGATCAATACGACATCCTTCTGTACAGAAGAAGACTCCGTCACATGAGCTCTCAAGCACTGGAAAGATTCCAACCAAAACATGACTTCGCAGGTTGTGAAGATCCGAGGCTGTAGCTTTCCTTGTTTGTGATGAGGTGCATCAGAACAAGCGGGCTTGATCTTCATGCGCTTGACATCAAGTATGCATGGCACAGCTTCCTAGGCGGGCTCACGGGCTCACGGTTGGCAACAGCTTGTACCGACTCTTCAGCAAGCCCTTCCCGCTTTCACATCTCAAGAAACCCAGAGAAAGGCCTCGCCATGCCGGACTCCCACGTACCAGGAGTAGGGGTTCTTCAGCTTCACATGATGGTAGTCCTTGCAGCTCAGAATGGATATCACGGCTCTAGGCCTTTTGGAAGAACGGGGGGGTTGAGTAACAAAGGGGGATGCCTTCCCCCAAACCTGCACCGCTGACACGTTGGTATGCTCGGACCCCGGCCATCCAGAAGTCCACCTGGAGCTGCAGCCTCGGCAGAGCAACAAAAGGAATCGCAGCATTTCTTGCGCCTGCAACTGTGCTACGTACATATAAGTACAGCGATTCTACCAGGACCTCCGCGACGACGACCGCGCTCAAACGAGGACGACGACTAGTCCACCTCCTACCACAACCACTTAACCCCAAACTCAGTCCCCCAAACTCTAGAGCTGCTGCACTGCTCCTCCACCGCCTCCTGCTCTTCGTACCAGCACGACGACAAAAACGACTGCTACGACTGCAACTGCCACGACTGCGACCACGATGACGTCGATCACTATAGTACTCCGAGGGGCGACATGAAGTGTGCGATAGATTGACAAGTTGCTGATACTACCGCCGCTACTTGCTACAGTTCGGCCAAATGCGAGTGTTCAATACTACCCTTCTGCTGCTCACAGAACTCGAGCCTTGTGAGCCTGAACACCCCTACGACCCTACGAGCGCTAAGCGGCCCTCGCAGTCGCAATGCAGCATATCAGCGGCAGCAACGAATAGCAAGAAAAAAGCAACATTCAAACACTACAAACAGAAATCTACACGAGGCAGACAATGTGTATTCGCTTGGAGCAAAACGCAGCTACAGAACAGGTATCTTGCCGCAACACAACAGTAGCTGTAGCTGCAGTGGTCTGGGTCTTGAAACTCGACAAGCCAGCAAAGTTCGCTTAACTCACGCTGCAACAGGGTTGAGGTAAGCAGACGTAGCAGTAATGGGGTCGTTTTGGGAAGTCCGCTCTGAATGACAGCCGAGATGCCACTCGGGCTCTGCGACCTGCGCTTGGATCTGTTGGAGACTGTCACTGGGGCCTTTGGTGACTCTCGGCTGTTGCGGCTTCGGATGTGGCCCATGACCGACTCCTCCTGGGTTGTTCATCGGCGCTTAATCATGACAGCCTTCAAGCAAAGGAGCGTTAGCTGTTCCATCCGAACCCCCAGTATGCATCACGAAGTCCAGCACGATTAAGCGGAAAAGCCACGATAACGAAAAGAGTGAAACTGAGACTGCCAGCAACATGGCCATAGCATGAAACCCAAATAATGCAATAGCAAACATGGTAGCTGCAAGAATAGAAGCCGATGGCTGCCATGCTAACAAGGGCTTTCGCGGAAACACTGCGGCAATGGCAGCTAGCCAGCCTCAACATCATAAAAATAGGAGCTCGATCGGTAATGAAACCTCGTGGCAAAAGAATAGCAAGGTGATGATTAAACAAAGTGATACTAATTCATGTGTACTCAATGAATTAGCAGGAAGCGCCACCGAAGACGGAAATCATCGTAGTCTTTCCAGCACGGCAGAACCATGCAATCAGTCATGAACCAGTCGTGACATAAGCAAAACATAGCAAGCCAGCATTGAATACCCAGAGATGAACTCACTGACCAAGTCGACACAACGAAACCCTGGTGGACGTGAACTGGTGACCTCTGCCCAAAGTCGCCGCCGTAACAATGGCAGTAGTGAACACTGGCGTCCTAACACCACGATGCGAGTACAAACCCTAAACCCCAAACAGTAGAGACTGCCGGAAGGCCTGTTTGTTCTTCAGCGCATCCTGCTGCTTGGCCGCGAGCAGATCGCCTGAGGCACCGCTGGTTCAGGATTTGGTTCTGTACTGTGTTGGGGCATAGATAAATCCCTTGCCTAGGAGTTCAATGCTTTCTTTTGAAGGGGTTAGGGAATTTTAGGGCCTTGGGCAATCAATGAGGAAACCTGATGTGTACACGCTGAAACCGCCAGCCCTCAAGCCCTACATTCAAACAAATCCAACTCCCCAGGTCCGATCCTCTACCAGCCTCGAAGAAAGAAAGAATCGAAGCAAAGATGAAACGCCCACGTTCTTTGGGTGGCCGGGCTGAAGGAGTAGCGGAGGCCGGCCTGCGTCAAGTCCATGCCTTGGAGCGGCTGGGCTTGGAGACTTGGGGGGCCCTCGAAACCCGTGCGAGGTGCAGTCTATTCAGGGCTTGGGCGCTTCGGGGGTTTCGGTGATTCTGCGGCTTGGAGGTTAGGTTCCGGAGGAGCTGAGCTTGCATGCTCTCCTGCTGCTAGCAGCCACTAGCTCCAATGTAGACCCTCACGCGTCGTTCAGCGTCAACTTCGGGAATGCCACGCACCGGGCTGGGCCAGTGTTGCATGACTCGCATGACTGTACGGTTGGATCTGAGACACGAAATGTCTGTATCAGCCTTGGTACTCACTGCAGGCGAAGCGAGTCTTCCGTCAGACGCTGCCACTTCTTTGGCACTCGCCACTAGGAGGACTTTCACCTCTTCCACTCAACTCCATCATCAGCCGTCCAACACAAGCGCGTTGTGCACAGCGCTGCGAATGCTGGGCCCGCAGCCGAGGAAGTTCGGCCGAATAGCGAGGCGCTGGTTTGCAACAACCTTGGCAGGCGTGGGATTGAGGCCTCAGAGGCCCCCCGGCCAAAAAAACCTGCTGCTCCGATCTACGCTGCCGTTTCTCGCTCCCAAACACTCCGCCCACCCTCGCTGACGTCCCTCGAACACAGACTGCTAGACAAAGGCGCCCTTTGGGAGGTTCGAATCTTCCGCGTAAAGAGTCCTTGTCAAGAAAGTATGCAGAAAGTTCGGGCAACCGCCAGAACATCCCAGAACAGAGCACATCAACTCGAAGCGAACATGGCCATCCATCTGCAATAAGTACGTTCAGCGAATTAAGCAACGCTGGAAGTCCATGCATGTCCAGGCATAAAACTGGCTTGCTGCGCAAACCCAGATCCTCTAATGGGAAGAAGTTCATTCATTGCAACTAATTGCAGGGCTCTCCTCGCATTGAATCTTCTTCAATTGCTCAATCTAGCAGCTGGCCACGGGCATGCAATGGTTACAAGTTGGAATGCAGATCTGCAAGAGTGCTCGATGTGATTGCTTCCCTCGGTTTGTGGTCCTACAAAGTCTATGTTTGGCTGCGCCTATGTATCAGTTTCAGCTTTCGCTGAGGTAACTCGTGAGCCTCTGGCTGGGAATGCCCAGCCCCACAGCTCAAGCTTCTCGTATTCGTGGGCGAAGAAGAGCCTCAACAGGCTCCACAAACTCCCGACTCGGCTCTGCACGGGATCTGTAGAAACATATATATGTACATAACATATGTGTATCTATATATACATATACATAAATGTGCCTATATGTGTATACATATGCATATATGTGTATATACCCATACATGTGCATGTCTGTGTGTATATATACATATTATATATATATATATATATATATGTGTATATATGTATATATATATATATATTCAGAATGGTACGGAGTCATGTATTCTCGAAAACGATCTTCAAGACGGTCCGGAGAGGGCGCGGCCATTGCAGAATCCATCGGGCTTACAGCTCTTCTGCATCAGATTGGCCCGAATCGTAGATGTTACCGTTGCCCAAAACCCCGCATCACCATCGTCACTGGCATCACATCCTCAAGGTAGTCGTGGCTTACCACAGACGACTAGACTCTAGGACTGCTCAGACTACTCTCTAGACCCTCACCTCATTCTTAAGTTAGGACTGCTCAGACTACTCTACTCTACTATACTATATTACACTCTACTATACGATACTCTACTATTACTATTTTATCCTATTCTCTACTATACTCTACTCTGTTCTACTATACTACACTATACTGTAGCAGACTCTGAGCTGGGCGACTGGCCCTGTGTCCAAATTGGTCACGATCAGCTCGCGAAGGTGAACCTGCGAAGAAGGTCACGAGAGCAATATAGGGGCCTAAATAATTAGAATAGGGTTCCTTTTCAGGGGTCCATAGTTTAATTAAGGCCCTTACATGATTTCAGTAAGAGTCATCTTAGTCATTGCACTAAGACAAAATGAAGTAAAAAACACATCGGGTCACTATCCAACAGCATCTCTTTTCGCGCAAATACGGATCCTGATCACGAGTAGATACCATTGTCGCTGCTAACACTAACTACCCACTGGTGAAAAACTCTGCCTGCTGTTAGGACGATTACCGCTTGCTTCTACCCTGGACCCGACATGGAAACCCGCTGCCTCCTGCGGCTCGGGCCATGCGATGTTCAGCTTCCGGATGGGCGTGGTGCAGGTCATGTAGGTGTTGTTTCGAACTGGGCAGCGTGTGCAGCGACATCCGATACCAGTTGAAAGACTGTCCAGCATGTCAGCTCTAGTACCCTGAACTCTTGGCTGCCAAGATCACGTCGCTGGGCTGGGTTTTGTAGTGGACGAAGCTCGTACCGAACAATCAAGTTCGGTCTCTGCGTGTGTGGTGTGTGTGTGCACGATTGTGCGCGCCTCTTTCTTTCGGAGGAAGGGGTGCGACCAAGTGCGACTCCACTTAGTCTGGGTGCCAATGGAAACGTCTCTTGTTCCACACAGCCAAGGAGCAGCTCTCTGCGTCTCTCTTTCTCTCTCCATCCCTCTCCCTCAAGACACCTCCTTGCGACATGACTCACATTCTTCGTGACACAGTACATGGGGTATTTCAATGCTCGAACAACGAGCATTAAGAGCCCAAAGGATTGAAGACTGATGCTTCACTGCCGCACGAACATGTGTCCGGGCCCCCTTGCGCCGATGCTGGAAGTCAAGGGTGGCTTTGAAGATGGAGGGGTCGTCTGTCCACATGTCCGTGTCGCTGTACCTCGGCGTGCATGGATTACGTAGCAGCATGTCAGCGTAGCGAACAATGCGGTAAAATTGGATGTAACGTGCTTCGGAGCATGAGTAACAGAAACACGCAACACTGGCCTCGAGCCATGCCCTGTTGCCAGAACTTAACGATGCTGTCTCGAAGAACATCGAATCAAAAGATCTCTCTGATCTGATACATGGCAGCTGCATGCTGTACCACGGAGCCAGCACTGAACTCCATTCAAAGGGTACTGGAAGAACAACCTGAGCCTGAGCTTATGCCTATTCGCCCTGCTGTTTGAGCTTCGGACCAAGTTGTTTCTTCCAAGCCGCCATCGTCCGTGACGTTCAGGTTGACCTGGCTCTACACAGTGCCTCCGACACTACGCTCAAAGAACTAGCCAGGGTTTTGTCAGAGGTTGAGGGTTAAAAGGCTTGCTTAGCTCGCCAAAGTTGTTAAAAGATGAACACAAAGCTTCCCTTGTTTCAGGATTTTGGTGCATCGTGGTAGCTCCGGGTTCAGGAAGCTGGCACATCCTGTCCGGCCAGTCTACCAGGCCCTTGGAGCCTATTGGAAACTAGTATAGAGACCTTGATAATTGCCTATACCATTCTTGGTGGCTCCTCGTTGAAGCTGCAGTGGAATATTCCTCAAAATCCTATTGTAGTTATTTAGGCTTCTACAGCACGGAGTCTTTGCCTCACTGGACTTCGGCGAGCGGTCACGATGGACTTAGATCTCTTCCATCACGATAGCAGCGGCCAGAGAAGGTTTTTCCATCCTCGAAGCGGAATCCGCATACGGTATATCATAATATAGTATACGATTGTATGTAACTTTACTATGTTACTGTTACAGGAGCTCCAAGACATGTCGAGCCGACGTGGGTATACTTGCAACCAGGATGGCCCAGGTTGAACCTGGGACAGTGCGGCTGCCGGGTCACTTCGGGTCCCGAGGTAGCGACACAGACAGGGCAGGGCAGGCACTGCACTTGGTATGCCTTCCTGGGCAGCAACGCAGCATGAGAAGCTTAGAGCCACTAAAAGCTGAATGCATGTAGACTCAAGGCCCCAATCCACACAGACCGTGATGGAACATCACTGCGTCTTGAATCCTTCCGAGCGCTGCACGCGTCAGCCCAGGTCGTGTAGGACTTGGGCGTGCCCGTGAGGGTGCCATCGAAGTCCCAGTAGACTTCCTGCCATCTTCGGCGCTCTTCATTGAACGTAAACAAACCTTTGAAGCAACTCAACATTTGGAGTGATGTGCGTCCTTGGCACTCTGCTTCTTAGGGCACATGGGCCGCAGGAACAACGATCCCCTCTCTTGAGGCACGAGTTCCAAACTGCCGCCCCGCAGCAGGCCTTCTTGTGGACGTTGATTCTCTTGGTCACGTTGATGAAGCCTGAGCTGCAAGGAGATCGATGTTCGACGGCGCTGGCTCGGCACATTAGACAGACCACTTCCGAACCCAAAGCCAGAAAGAAATATCCCCTGACTCTGCAGCAGATGGTGCAGTGTGAAGATGGTACGTGTACGGGTGTAATGGGGCCTTGATTGCCTTGATCATCTGAAAAGGATCGTTTGAGAGGACTGCACTGTAATTGTGAAAGGGGGCCTTTAAGAATAGATGATGGGCATGATGGGCTTGGCGCATATTCGGGCAATCCTTAATTACCTAATGGCGAACAGCTGCACCACCTCCAAACCGCGCTACGTTTCAGTCAGCAAAACGTCTTGTCAAGTCCTTGCCGTACCACCTGAGCCAAACAGAGCTTGCGCACACCAACCAGAGAGCTTTCCACGAATTCCTTCCACATCCGAGAAAAGGTGCACCTGCGGGGCTCTTGGAACCAGTTTAGCTGTCCGCAGAAGCTCCTGGCCTTCTGGCATGGCTGACGTGGAGGTTGGGATTGTGTTTGCCACCGGATCCTGAGGTCAGGCTTGGGCCACTGGGTTCGGACGATCCTGGCCGGGACTGAAGGGTTCGGTCCCGGGATGGGCCGCGGCCAGGCAGTGCGAGTGTCGTTCGAAGGGACAGCTGCGTTGGCGACCAATGGTGCGTGCATGCACTGGATGAGGGGGCGGCATGTACGACTGGTGTGTCCTGGCTGAGCAACCTTCCGCGGGCCTTCCGCAGAGATCCCAAACTCAACCCGCCCACAGCGTTGCATCCGGAACCGCCGGGTGAGGTTTTACTCTTGGCTCCACAAGCTGCTCGTGTGGGCTCCAGGATGCCACACGATACCGCGGCAACAAGTGCAAGCTACGCACAAGTACAGGAACTCATGCACGAGAGACCATGACTCCAGCTCATGTTACGGAAGCATGAGCTAGCAAGACCCCAATCTGAAAGGCATGCTCAAAGGCAAGGCTAAAACTTGGCTCCCCTCCTAAAAGTCAAACTTTTAGCCTCCTTGTTATAGTTAATATAGAAACCCAACAAGTTAAAGTCCTAAGAGCCAACTAGAAGAATGCCAAGAAAAGTCTGCCGAAGGTCACGAAAACTGCCAACCAAGACCCTGCAGACATATGTAGACATCCGATAAAGGAACCCATAAATGCAGTGAGGTAGCTGAGACCCTCGGATCTGTATGTGTGGACGCCCTGGCGCCACTTGGCAAGGGACCTCACATGGAAACACGGCCACCCCGGATCTACTTTCCAGTCGAGCGCGCACTCTGACAGCTTTCGAGGCTTCGCGGTTCTGATGCTGCGAGTTCAGAGATGGTTGGGCTCAAATTGGTCAGGAGTCCCAAGATGTCCCAGAGAGTTTGTATCAGTACTACCGTAGAGAGCTGCTCCTCGAGACACCGCTGCTAGAAGGGATTCGTGCACCAGAGGCATTGTCAAGTATTCACCACCCCCATAACCTCCAGACTTTCCTGCAACCTACAATCTACGACCTACCCAGGCTAAACCCTAGCAAAACGACTGAGAATCGCGGCCAGCACTTGGTGCAGCCCTTGAAGACCGGCGTCTGGCCAACAGCAGTCGTCGGGTGGCAAAGGGGGCCCGGGTCGCACTTCGGATGCGGCCCTGGGGTCTCTGTCCTATCTTTCTGGCGAAGTTCATGTCTCGTGGCGCAGCGAACGAAATACTCAAAGGACTCAGATGGAGTACCGGCAGCCGGGCCTGGATAACTTAAGCAGACACGCAAACCCCTAAGGGGCCTCACCCAAGTTCACCCACATGGAGTCGGCCGTGTAGAACTGCTCGTTCTGGGGCAACGAAATGGACCTCGTGTGAATCGCTGTCAACCCACTTTCACTTCAGCATTGGGCCTAGTCGGAGTGGGGGGAGGCGGGGTGGCGCTTTGGCTCTGGAGGGTTTCATAGCCGAAGACACAAAATTTAGCGAATAGGCTACTTTGTAGTATACACAGGCAGATTTCGCGATACCTGTTTACACGGATTACGCTGCAATGCCTCACCTGTTGCGGGGGTCCCGGAATGTGCCTTGCCTATCCTTGGAGACTTACAGAGCACTCGAATCCGGAAGCACTCGGAAGCCCAAACTTCGAACTTTGGGTGCTCGGATCCGAAGGCTTGAATCCCAAACCCTTGTACCAGAATGCACGAACCCTCAACTCTAGACCCTAGCTAAATCCCATCCGAGTTAGGGCCAGCACTGGCCCTGACTCGAGGACTTTTTGTGGAGATTCTGCGGCATCACGGCCGCAAACACAGAATCCTTCGGGGACTGCAGGTCTGGCATGCGTGGTGGTCGTCGTCGTGGTAGAAGTAGTCGTCGTCATCGTAACAGTCGCCGTCGCCGTCGTAGTAGTAGCAGCAGGAGCGGGAGCGGGAGTAGGAGTAAGAGGAGCAGGAGGAGGAGGGTAGTCGTACGACTGCGTCTACGACGACTACGAACGTGACTACTACGACGACTACTGCCACTCCCACCACCGGTACCCCTGCCACCCACTGCCGCGACCAATGCCACTACCACTACCACGATTGTCATGGTTCTCCTTGCCGGCAAATCTGTGATGATGGAAAGCATGCCGACAGGAGTCCTTGATGTGAGGGATGTTCACGAAGTCCGTCTCGTACTTGCCACCATGAGTCACGGCTGCTGCACGCTTGAACTTCACAATGAACATGTCTTGCCTCGGGCTCGGTGAGACTCTTACATGCCGACTCCGAAAAGATGAAGTGGGCCCTTGAAGAGGGAGTTCCCCAAGACTTCGGAGCCTGTGCCTGCATCCCTGCACCAGCAAGTGTCGAAGCTTGAAGCGAAGTAGTTACTGTGAATGCCCGATGCCCCTGGCCACCCAACAAAAACGAAAGCTCTCTCGACTCGGGACCGTCATCAAGATCCCTTGGTCCCAACTCCGAGGCCACCGCGACTTCGCCTCCACGGATGTCATGTGGTGGTTGTGGACGGAACCCATCTCGGACCGAGTGGTGGGGCTTTCGGCTTCGGCTTGGAGACTCCCACCTTCCTTCCGTCAGCTACTCATGCCGCTTGGTATGTAGTGAGGGTGGAGGCGAAAGGGGCCATAGCCAGAGCACAGGTTGAGGCTGAGATGCTGCCTGTCGCCTGTCTTCGTCACGCTACCGACGTAGCAGCGAAAAGCAGGCAGGCATCAGACTAACGCCAGACACAGGTAGAGCAGCGCAGCTTTTGTGGGTTCTGCGGCGTTCGGTTCGACTGTTTCCACTGGTAGCTCCATTATCAACATTTCCATGAGTAATTACCTCTCTTGCTATGACTGCGTTCTTGCTGCGACGACCTCTAGAATTACTGCAGGTGAACTGCTACTGCTGGGCTCCTGCTAACTGCTGCCACCACGACTGCTGTGGCTGCTGCTGCCACTACCACCGCCAGCACCACTACCATGTTTCTACCGGGTCTCACTCAGCCCCGAACCTTCATGGCGTTGAAGCAAGCCTTTCCGACTTCCCAACCTGCAGTAGCGGGCCGCGAAGTATGGAAGTTTGGCTTCGACATGCGCAATGGAGACACATCTGTGTCAAGGACGCATCGTGTCCACCCAACTTGACCATGCTGCCGGCATGTCAGTACAAGTCACGTCGCTGCTGTAAGAAACGCGCTCTCTGCGAGACAGCCCGACACAAGCGACAAATCATCTGGGCAAGCAGCATGTCGTGTTGAACAGGATCTGGGGATTCTCATCGGAAGCAGAGTTGCATGGCTCCTGCACAGAATCTGATCACACCTCTTTGTCTGCAAGCAGTCAGGCAGTCCTCTTAAACTCAATCTGTATGAATATGAGAAAACGAACCTGAGATTCATGCGAAGAGGTTGAGACCAGGCAGCATCCGCAGTCCTTGCGCGGAAACCAGGTCAAGTAGACCCGGATGCAGCTGCCTTGCAGGACATTCAACGGCATGTGAGGCATGAGGGGGCTGCAGAAGGGAGGGCACGAGCGGTCAGGATTATGGTGCAAGCCCATGCTTCAAACTTCTTCAAGCCTTTGTTGCCCGAGCGTGCGGTTGTGGCCAGCCATCGTCTCTGCTGCTTTAGGACTTTAGGACTCCATAGTTTCCGGGGCCATCCTGCCCCCTCGCAGCAAGACGAACCCTTCACTCCCGAAGCCACGAGACATGAAGCTTTATCGAAAAACATAACAACCCGTTCTGTTTGGGAGCATCATCCAAAAAACGTCGACGCAAAGGTAATCATGGGTAATCATCCATAACATACCGCCAGGAGCAACTTTGCCGAATCAACGTCGTAGTGGTAACACTTACCAAGCGGAAGCAAACATCTTCAACAACACCTTCGGGGTAGCACCAACGATGATCATCGCAAAGCAAATTACATCACTGACTACCCCGTGCATGAACCCCTCAAACCTAAACCTTGAGTCCTGAAAAACGCAAGCCCTGAACCTGTGCAGGCCTGGCAAGTGGTGGCAGCGATTGCGAGTCCACTCACCAATGCGGTCGCCAACGGGACAGATGGTGTTCTGTGCAAGCGGCCAGGGCTACAAAGATTTCAGAATTCAGGCTTTAGGGGTCTATATACTGCTTGATGCAAAGGTTTTGGGCTGACACATTCCAGTTCCAGGTAGCGTATGCGAACTTGATGTCATACTCGATTCGACCATCACACACAAGATTGTGTCTGAAATGTTTGCTGTACTGATGCTGTGGTCCTATTGACGGTTCTTATGGAAGCTGTTCGTTGCTGCTGGCTCTGGAATCGGACGTGGTGTTGGTAGCTGTGTGCCCTGGGCTTGCGTGGCGGGGCGAGCGCCGGCGTGGGCATGGTCTGGCGTGGCATGCTGGCAGTGGTGGCGGTACTGTTGTTAGTCGTGGCAGTAGCGATGGCGATACCGGCAACTGTGGTGGCGGTGTCGGCTGCATATTTGGTTGCTGTTGCTTTCTCTTACTAGTGCTGCAACCTTTGCAACTGATGCTGTTGAGAATTGTGTTGTTGTCTGTCCTTGTCGTTGTTGCTGCTGTTGCTGCTGCAGCTGCTGTTGTTCTTGCTGCTTGCTGTCTTTACTTTAGCGATTACAGACATAGTAATGTGACAGAAGAGGCGAGATCCTCTCCGCGAGCACACCTAGAAGATTGCAGCTACTTTGGTGCACTAAGGCCACTAGGGAAGCCCTCCGTGTTGAAGATTTGGGTGCCGCCGCTCCTGCATGATTACCACTACCTACACGGATTGCACTGTGTAAACTGGTGTTGTCACTAGTGCTGCTACTACGACGACGACCCCTACCACCATCACCGCTGCTGATGCTACTATCCGCGCTGACATTCTCCTGATTCTTCGCTTCTAGTTACTGTTCTCCACGTGCTGCTCGCATGTCAGAGTATACCGTAGGCGCCTTGTAGATGTCCATGTTGTGCGAGATGGGCGTGCCGGGCCTAGGGTTCACACTTTCAGCCGTTTGGGGCTTGCCGTCTGTGTTCCTGGCAGCTTCGCCACGGATATTATACTGCAGTTATCTGATGATTATGCTTACTATATCTTTAATATATTCTGCGATAACTACAGAACGTTTATGGTTATAGCTGCCATATAACCTATTCATATAAGATGCTATACTTGCGGCTTCTGAAGCGCGCGCACACAGAAACCAGGCCGCACATGTCTGACCATACTATATTCTACAGTACAATATACTTTTAGATACAGCATAAACATACAATATACGGCAAATATACTAGAACGAGAATGTGCTATGACTATGATATGTGTATATATATATATATATATATGGTGCCCCCCCTCCCATGGATCCACCTTTTTCGTGTGCTTCATGTACGCGCCGTCGACAACGTCGTTACACAATTGTTCTTCAAGGGCCCAGGGCAAGGGTTTGGGGGTTTAGGGAACCTAACTGAAAAACCTAACTGCAAAACCTAACTGACAAAACCTACCTGAAAAAACCTAACTGAAAAAACCTACCTGAAAAAAACCTAACTGAAAAAACCTAACTGAAAAAACCTAAAAAACCTAAATCTCGAGAGTCTTGTCATGGATATCTCGCTGAAGGACTTCCCGAGTTTAGGTGTTTTAGGTTTTTTAGGTTTTTTCAGTTAGGTTTTTTCAGTTAGGTTTTTTCAGTTAGGTTTTTCCGTTCGGCCCCGGGCACACTGTCTGAAGCTGTTTGAAGCCAAGTGCTCAGTATACACATTCTGCGTTCTGTATTCTCGATCGGGCCATATGGATGCGCTGTTTGAGCGCGCGTCGTCGCTTCCCGACGAGATGATCGCAGAGATTTGAGACTTTACTAAGATGTAAAGAAGGAGTATCGTGTAAGGTGTTCTATATGCTCCTGTTTGATTTCTTCATTGGGCACATAGCCACCCATTAACCCGTTATCTATAAAGTATTCTACAAGGCATTCTATGGTGCAATTTACGGGTATGTTATAGAATGTTCCATAGGGTTATCTTTAGGACTTCCTCTGGGGTACTCAGAGGGTATCATAGACATTGTGAATATTCTGTAAGCTAGTCTGTCGGGGATTGCAGATGATATTCTACAAGGCCTACAAACTATAAAAGGCCTATGTATAAGGGATTGTACAAGGCATCAACATGAACGTAAAGATTATCTTATAGAACGTATTCTATAACCTAATGTATAGGCTATACGGCTATAGGGTACTCAAGAAGGTATATATGAGGTATATAGGGGGTATTCTATAACGTATTACCTAGGGTCACCTGCACGAAATTCTTTTAGGTTTGTGGTATTCTTTAGGATATTCTCTTCGACTCCTGGATCACTCCTAAAATCTCTTACCCAGTAGGCTGCTTCTTTATGAGGGGTTCTCAGATCTTGGGCTCGTTGAAAGGTTATCTATAGGTATTCTTACTTCCCAAATACCTATGGGGGTGTAAAATGTTTAAACTTTCGCAATAAGATTACCTTATTAGGGGCCAAGAGTTGGAAAGTTTGGTTTCGAGCCACTAAGTGTTATATGGGTTCAGGGTATATATACTGTATACAAGGACTGTCATGTATAGGGCCATCGGGGCATTCTGTAAGGTCTTCTATAGAGTATTCCAGACGGTCTTCCATGAGGCGCACGACATATAGAGGGTACTATGTGTTCCATAAAGTATTTTGTAAGGTACTCTATGTCGTATTCTGTGAGGTACTCTGGATATTCAAAAGATATACGGGCTATGACTGAAAGTATATGATAAGGTATTCTAGAGGCTCTAGGGTATTCAATAAGGCATGAGGGTATTCTATATCAGTGCATTCCATATCAAAGATTTCAAGATACATAGAGAAAGTAACCAACAGGACATCCTATAAGATATTCTATATAGTGTCTTGTATAGAGTGTCCTATAGGGTATGTGTAATATAATGCGTGCGGTGTTATATGTGTTCAAGGTATATATACTGTATACATGGACTGTCATATATAGGGCCATAGGGGCATTCTGTAAGGTCTTCTATAGAGTATTCCAGGCGGTCTTCCATGAGGCGTACGATATATAGAGGGTACTATGTGTTCCATAAGGTATTCTGTAAGGTATTCTATGTCGTTTTCTGTAAGGTACTTTAGATATTCAAAAGATATACGGGCTGTGACTGCAAGTATATGAGAAGGTATTCTAGAGGCTCTAGGGTATTCAATAAGGCATGAGGGTATTCTATATCAGTGCATTCCATATGAAAGGTTTCAAGATACATAGAGAAAGTAACCAACAGGACATCCTTTAAGATATTCTATATATTGTCTTGTAAAGAGTGTCCCGTAGGGTATGTGTAATATAATGCGTGCGGGGTGTATCATATATAGGTGGTCTTGTATACGGTACGCGACAGGATATTCAGATGGATTTCTACAAGATATAAAGGTTATGAAAGTGGAATTTTTGCAAAGTATTCTAAAATGTAATCTAAAGGGTACTTTCTTGGTTAAATATTTGGTATTGAACCCTGAAAGGTTCGCTAGATTTCGTGTTCACGGACATTATGTATAATCTCGATGCGTCTTATATATGGGAGGTGTAGAAATAGGGCCCTCTTTTCATATCTATACTTGTCGTGATACTATGTTATTATATGGGATGATATATCTTTGCTCTCCTGTTGCGTGTTACCTTAAGAGCCCATACTGCTGCATGCAAAAACCTATACACACACAGAACATGCATGCAAGCTTGCGTTCTTTTGCAACACGAGAAGAAGCCGTACGCGAATGTATGTCGCTTGGAAAAACTCAGGGTGTATATGAAGGAATGCAGAATGTAGGATCTGCGAAATCTTCGATGCAGTCGAAGCGTATTTAGTGAAGGACTTGTAAAGAGAAGGGAATACGTTATAGAATATCAACTATTTCGCATCCGGCTCTCAAACACACGAAAAAGGTGGATCCTTGAGGGGGGGGGTAGCATATATATATATATATATATATATATATGTGTGTGTGTGTGTATGTGTGTATATATATATGCGTATATATGCATGTACATATACCATGGTATACTATTACATAGACCCCAAATCCCTGACTGCAAGTTCTGAGCCCACATACCAAACTGCAAACTCAAAGCCCTCAACTCTAAACACTCCCGGAACAAAATCCCCAACCCAAGAATTTCGCAGAATGCCTAGTAAGGCTCAGTAAGTCGGGAGTCTGCAACCGCCCACTCTGGGTACAGATGGCTTGTTGCTGTTCGTGTCTGCGCTGTTGTGGCTGTTGTGATGATGCACGGTACACCATAGCCGTGCTGACGTGGCAATTCTGCCGGACTCGGGAACATGCTAACAAGAAGAAGACCATGCACCCTTCGAATCTCAGCTGCATCCGCCAATCCCGCCAAGGCCAAGGGCAGCTGGAAATACCAACCGTCAGATCCAGTCACCGCCACCTAAGGACACAGCTGCAACATGAAACTGCTTGGCTTGGTGGCTGATTTAGGCGTGACAGCCGACCTGCAAACAAACTGAGAAAGCGCGCTAAGCGTTGTTCAGGCACACTTGCAAGGATGCACCAAGGTCAGCTTCCATGAGACGTTGAGACCCATACCAAGACAGAGCAGCGCAAACCGGCTACGTCTGAAGGACGCGGCTCGCTCAGGACGGATGCATGAATGTGCCTTTACGCTGCTCGCATCAGTGCTCGGCCCTCCAGAGGACTCTCAACTCTCAGCCTGCAGTCTGCTTTGCTCTTTGGCTTTTCATGATATCCCGGACTCGCGGACCTGCTCTCTCATGAAGCCTTCTTTGGTCGAATACTGCGCATGCGGCAGCTTGAAAGCCAGGTTCCCGGGCGTTGTCTCTCCAGACCTTGGTGGACTGCACACCTCCCCTACCCTCACGTAGAGGACTCTGCAGCTCCGCAGCACCCCCCAAAAGTCCCTGAACCCTTGCAACATCGGCTTCCCAAGCCTCATGCTGAAGCCCAAAGCCCCAAATCCCTAAGTCCTGAAAGGTCCTAACAGCTCTCGAAAACACCACATGGGTGGTTGTCAAAATTATGGTCCCTTTTTGGGTCCCTAATATAACACGGCACCTACTATTTAGGATCCCCAAAACGGGACCCTAATTTTGACAACTACCCACATCCCGGGTCTTTGGTTGGGCCCCGGCGTTGTTCATGGCCGCTGTCCAGAATCCTGCCGGCTCCTGGGAGCGTAGAGCTTTGGGTTTGGGCTTTTTTGAAATGGCTTTAGAGTGTTTAGAATGGGGTCTAGGGTTTTTGTTAATGGGTTTAGGGTTTTTGAGATGGGTTTGAAGTTCTGTTAATGGGTTTAAATTTCAGGGTTTGTTTACACGGGTCTAGGGTTTAGGGGGGTTTCGGGCGTAGGCTGTAGGGTTATCTTTGTTGCTCCCTATCACTGTCAGTATCAATAGAAGCATTATTATTGCAAACATGGCTACATATCAATATCATTGTCATGACCATGAGTGCTGCTAGTACCATTCTCATGATCATCATTTTTGTGGTTCATAGCTGCTGCTACTGCTCTGCAGTTTAACAGTCCTGATCAAGATGATGGTTGTTAGCGATATGGTTGGGAATACTGCAGCTACCTTTAACCATGAGGCTACTGTTGTGAATGATGTAAAGGTTGCGATAACGGGTTTCTAGGGCAGGAACAAATCTGGACATGGAAGCAGCAATGATAATAATGCCAGCGATGCCAGTTACAATTGAAGTATGCTGGTGAGGATCGTGATAACCACAATACGAGCAACAGAAATAACTCTGGCAAGAAGATTAGAGAAGGGGACATAACGAACACTGAGGAAAGCCTCTATTCTATTTCTGTGTTTATATGTAAATTGGGGGAATCTTGTCTTCAAGCTATGTTGGGAAGGAACTGCAAGACGATTTTTCGGCAAGTGCAAGGAGGGCTGAGATGGAATCACGAGAGGACCTGCTGGTACAAAGGCTACGCCCCGCCCAAGTCCAAACTTCCACGAACCATGGAAACTCGCCTGACTCGTATGGAAATCTAGATCTATGACTCATGCGGAAGCAAAACCGTGAATACACTCTTACATGGCACGGCGAAGAAGTGATACCACGATGCCAAACAGTCTCGGACTCGACATGCCAGAGCACATAACCCAGAAAATCAAAATACTTACATGGGCCGCGCCTGATCGCTTTCCAGCATGCCGGACAAGAGGGGAATCGCACCGACCTTTTCAATTTCCGTGCTTAGGCTTGCGCTGGCTAGGCCGCACGGCACTTCAGGCACGCAGACCCTTGCTCCCTGCTACCGGCAATATTTGCGATCGGAAAACGTCAGAATCTCACACATTACTCTGGGGCAAGTGCTGCGAGGTTACCTTCCAACACGTTGTGCCTCGGCACCAGGAGAAAGCTGCGCTTTTTTTGCTTTCTGTTGCTCTGCACAAAGTCGGTATGTGAAGGCGACTCGGTGCGACATTGGCGGGCTCATGCCATGCAGCTGCAAGCTCCCACAGTGTGTGATTGACACGGTGTTTCTGCTGCGGAAGAGCAGAACCGCTGGGAAGTTTCAGGCACTGGCATCTCCATTCCCGTCTCGATAAAGAACCTGAGGGTCTGAAGCGGCTCTCTTGCATAACATGTGGCAAGGAAAGCGCGCTAGGGTGTTGTATGCTATCCGCACCATGACCTTACCAGGACATGGCAACCAATCGTGAATTCTGTTTGCAAGAGAGGATCATGTGCCCGATGATGTCGAAGGCCACATTGCCCTTCACCAGCACGTAGTTGGTGCTGTGCACGGCCACCGCCTTGCCGAGCTGTAATGGGCCATAAGAACAACAAGCATTCGCTGTGGCTCTTGAGCTTGCAGCTATCTGAATCACGGATTGCTGGCACTATCGATACATGCGGTCTTGTCATGTTCCTTCTTAAGAATGCCTCTACGATCACGAACTGGAGGTTGCCGACTGGGAGTATCAGTGTCTTAGTCAAACTACTAGTTACTATCGCCGCTGCTACGATTGTTCCTGCTACTCCCCCTCCTACTACTCCTACTCCTCCTACCCCTCCTACCCCTCCTACTACTCCTACTACTCCTACTACGACCTCCTGCTGCCGCTGCCACTGCTTCTGCGACTGCTACTGCTTAGCGAGGACGAGGACGACTACTCCCACTGCAATACTGTAGCTTCTGATTGTGATTTCCAGTCTTAGTAATCGCGGCTGGCTTCTTATGTGGTGATGGTGCTACTGATAGTGGTGATCATGTTGGTGGTCGCGATGGTGATGGTAGTGATGGTGACGTTGATTCTGCACAAATGCCCTTGGTCGTGTTTACGATTCTGTGTATTGAGGCTGGTTGAGAGCATAGCTTCGAGGTCTCAACTCGATGGGATGTGCGAGATTGGCAGCGTAAGCACAGAAGCACGGAAGCTTAAACCTGATACCTGGCTTAGGACATCAACGGAATCGCAGTCCCTCTGCAACTGCTTAAAGCTACGGCAGCTACGGTCTATGCAGTACACAAGGCGACAGCCGGCTGCTACAGCCGGGGAGGGAGAGGGTTAATGAAGATCTTCTCTAAGCTCCGCGCACGCTGGAAACTGTGATGGATGGAGTTGTACTTGGCATAGCAGAACTGGCCGTAGTCCTCCGACCAACGCGGAAGTCACGACAAATTTAAGCTCGGAAGGACGATCAGCCGTATAAATGCCACGTTCCTCGCAACCTTTGCGCATCCGAACACCGACAAAGTTGCGACGACTTCGGAGACAAAAACGAACAGCAGGATCCATGCATGTCGGAGTCAGGCGCAAGCTTGCTCTCCACACCCGAGCTGCCCGGAAGAGTCGAAAGCCCCCACAAGCCGTGGCCTGGGTGATGTGGAAGTGGATCGGGTACCTGGCAGAGAGGAGGCTGCGTCGTGTACGAGCGATAACAGGAATCATACGTCATACTCACACCGGCAACACTACTTAGTTACTACACAAACAACATAGCAAGCATTAGTGCGCAATGTTGGTAGGAAAATACTTACAATTCATCCAGAGACATCGCGAATGGCTGCATGGTTTCGGGGCCCACCGCGACATCTCGCCGGTCTGACCCATGCGGTAAAACCTCGGTGGTCCCATGAGCAGGATTTAGGCCTATAGGGTTCAGGCTTCGGGTTACAGTGGCTATCTAGCTTCCGGCTTTGGGCTGGGAAGTTTATTTACAGCAGAGTCCTGAACGTACGCAGTCTCACGTGTCTCCGTGCAACAGAAGTCGGAGCCTGCTGACTCGAAACGGCCAAGGGCCATCAGACACCTCGCCAGAATTCGTTGTTCGGGCCGGCCTGCTCAGTGTTCAAGCGCTCCGTCTCCAAGATCCCGGCTCAGCATTCTCGATGCGGTAGATGCCGCCAAACGCCACCTGCTGCAGCGGCAGTGAATTGGAGACTTGCAGAAATTGATGGGCGTCAAGCACCAGACAGCGGAGTAGGTCCCGGATCCGACAGCGAATGTCTGAGCAGAAATGGAGCCTGCGTATGGCCACCCCACTGGTCAAGCTCGGATGTCCTCGGAGGGCATGAGGATCAGCGGTTCGAGTGAGTCTAGCTCCAACATCTGCGACGCGATGAAAACACAGCCTGGCAGACAAGCCCAAGCGCCAGGCGGATCACCCTGAATCTTCACGTTTCGCGACAGCAATGCGACCTGCCAAACATGATTGATTCACTAGGCTCTCCAGATGCAAAGGCCATGCCAGAGACCTGGGGAGGTGAGTGCTGCGCAGTAACGCCTCTCTCAAGCCCCGCGTTTTTCCGCTTCGAAGCTATCAGATCGGATCGGACCTCGGCCGACAAGTCGATGTACTCGTCGTCCAGGGGCCGGACGAAGAAGGTGGAGATGTGCTGGAACCTCGAAGTTTAAGGGCTTGAGGGAACCTCCATTCTTTGAGAGGTCTTTTGAGGGTTTAGGAAACCTCGAAGTTCAGGCAGTCAACTTGGGATGGCAAGATCCGGTCGCAAGAGGACGTAAACGTGCCACCACTCGAATGGGTCTGCTTAGGGGGTGGGAAAGTCTGGACATATCTCCAAAAAGGTCCACACGACACCTGAAATCCTATGATAAAGACAATCTTCTACAAACCTCTCCAGCCCTGGATCGGAGACCAGAGGGCTCCGGGGCCCCAGCTCCAGGGGCGCCGTGAGATAGATGGTCTTCATGTCGGAGGCCACGCTTCGGATGAACACGCGCCTGGGGGGTCCGTTACAGGAGGTCCCATGACCTGCGAAACTGCTATGATGCTTACGATGCAGGGGGCGTTCAAGACGTTGATGGCCACAACCGTGACACACAGCCCTAAACTCGAGTGGGTTGCTTTGCGCGACACCGGATGGAATTAGAAAGGAAAAAACTGCCAGCAAGCCTCGATGCGAAATGAAGATTCGAAGACCCGAATACGGCCCAAATCGAAAACCCTGGGCTCCGAGTCGCCTACAGACAGCCCGACGCTGCAGCGAAATCGATGTCTGTCGAGCTATCATTGGATATATTTTGTTCATATGCTCTGCTGAAGAACTCCTGTAGCTGTCCTACTAGGAGTACAAAGCAAAAGTATTCCATCCCGATTCCTAGGAACGACACTTAAACCTCAACCAGAAGCACCCAAACATCAGGCCAAAGCCACCCCTACCTACTCCTGAGGCCCTACACACTGTTCGACTCGAGACCCCGTAAACTCCGGTGCAAAGCTCCGGGCTCGTTCTGGAAGTCCACTGGCCTGGATGGGAGGCGGCGCTCACAGCAATACTTGTCGTGTCCACATCTCCATGTAGCCTATTCGGGTTAATTCTGTGCGGTGGTACGAGTACCAGTCCTACTGTCACCAAAGGTTACGACACGGCACTCCCACATGCTGCCTTTGGCCAATGTGGCAAACACAGTCGGCTCTGCAGTTTCGTTTGCTTGGTGTCTAGGAGAAGGCGCCTGCAAGGCTCGGCCAGCGTAGCTTTCGGTTTTGCCGTTTTCGGCTCCGCAGCTTATAGTCAACTGGCACACTTATCAAGGGGTCATTGACCACACCCTGGATGGGTTCAAGGACCTTTAGCGTGGACCAGTCTGGCAGAACCATAGCGCCGTAGTCTGTTTCACGGCTGCGGGTTGCGAGCCAAGTCTTGGCTTGACAGCTTTCGAAAAGATGAATGGGCGATTACGAGTATGTAGGACTTTGCATAAGACTTTGCAAATGATCGCAACAACCAAACGAAGGTAGGCATAAGCATGCACTCACAGACACACACACACACACACACACACGTACACATTCGAGGCATGTCGTCGCGCTACAGCAACTAAAAGGCAAAGAGCACAATAATCCAGCGCGCACCCGCGAAAAGAGCGAAACAATCAGATAGCCATATGTCACCGGCTCCTCTTTTTGATGAGCCCCGGACGGCGCTCCATGCAAGCCGTTGCCGTCGAAGTGCTTGTGTGGGATCTCTGTCGCCTTGCAGGGATGCTTTGCGTTTAGGGCCTTGATAATTAGAAGTATGATGGGTTTTGGGGCACATTATGCAAAAAGTATAATAAGGAACCCCCAAACCAGTAGAGGTAATTCTTAAGGCCCCTATGTTAGTGATGTGGCCCTCTGAGGCCCCGACGGCCACCATCAACTCCTCTCCTGCTTGCCAGTCCACGATGTCCTTCCAGACCCACCGAGTCAGGTGGCAGAATCCGGGCCCATGCGGGCCTATGCGGACCAGACCAGTACGAAGAGAGAAGAAAGCAACACAGCCTTGCGAAGCGTGCTACAGTCACAGGCCACGCAGACCGCACCTGCAGGACGATCTTCATGTCTCCAGCCTTGGCTGTTTCCGCCAGCCTTGTCCACACCTGGCAGATGCTGTGAGGAAGCCATGGGAGACGACCAACTAACAAGTGAAACCGCCACAGCAATGCCTGCCCTGAGCCCTGAACATAAACCCCAAAACCCCAAACTCAAGCCCTTGTGCTTGTGCCACCTGTAACTCAACCTTGCTCCGCCACTCCAAAGCTGTGATCCCAATCCTCCCCAAACTCCCAACCCACTTCCCAAAGTTGTTCCTAGTAGCTCCGTCGTGTCCCAATCTAAGTAACCTATCGTATACCCCCAAACTTTGTGCTAACTATATACAGGCCTGAAGCCTCGTACCACGCAGAAAGTCTGCCTTGAGACGGGGCCGGCCGTGGATGTCCATGGTTCCGATCTCAGCCGGCGGCTTCGGGAAAAGTTGGGCATTGGGCAAAACAGAGTTTCGGCTTCGGGGTTTAGCCTTGGGCTTGGGGTACAAGGCTCCTCGAAGGGTCACGGTCATGGCTCCAACCTCGGGCCCACACGTTGCCCTCCTCAACGGCATTGTCGCCCATCTCGCGGTATGTGAACCTGGGCTGCTTGTACAAGTATCAACCTGTGCTGGTCGTCAAGAACCAGGATAACCCACCATCTGACACGCTCCACCCGAAACCCTCACTCTAAAGCCTGTAGTAGTCCAGCTAAAACTACCAGTTGGGAGTTGTTGAAAATTGCGGGTACCTTCTTTTGGGATCCTTATAATAAGGATCCTACCATTTAGGGTACCACATTAGGGTACCACGATTCTCGGAAACCATCACTTACATATAGCAAGGTTGTCACGCATCCGGCCCAGGCGCTGCGTGTTGGAGACGGCCAGCACCTTGCCTCCAATGACGGGCCTCACGGGTGCAGAACAGCAAAAAACTCCTTAGGGCCTTAGATTCAATAATGCAACTCCATGCAAAGTGTATGGTATACACATTTGTATGCGGCGGAGCTACCACTAATCATTCGTAACGAACTCTTCTTAAAGATACTTGCAGTGGTCAGAAGTCCTTGAAAGTCCGTCGATCGTACATATGTTGCTCATCCGGCTTCTGAGAACCGCACAAACGGATGGTGGAGTACTTGAAGCCGTAGAGCGTGATCAACGCCTGGCTGCCAGGCGCTATTTACAGAGGCCTCGAGTGTTGGAATAGGGTCTGGGGGGTATATCATGCGGTGAGTGTTGGGGACTATGAAAGGGATGTGGCTGCTAATTATTCAGACTCCTATGTTGGAGGTGTTTGCGGTTTAGGACTCCAAGCGGCTTCGCGTCCAGCATAGTACATACTCTGAAAGAAGGGCCGCACCGAAGACAGACTTAAAGCACACGGCACCGTACAACCCTTCCCCAAGAAGCAAGGAGACACGACCTCTGCATCGGATCTTTCAGCCTGACAACCCATCTACCCCGAAACACGATCGAAGGCAAACGAAGGCGGCAGGACCCGGTGCATGAACGGCTGGGATTCCGTTCCAATCTCGAAGGTTCCACCCTGCGGCACTCAGGATGACTTCAACAACCTCTTCCTAGGTGCCTAATTCAGATTCCGCTAACGAAAAAACGTGCAAAGATCTTCAGGCTTTCGGGTTTAGGTTTGGCTCGCCGCAGGATGCAACCAACCTGAAATAGGGCAACACCAGATTCAGCAGAAAGAAAACCTTTTGACTTTCTTGAACCAGGAAGCTTTAGTCATAATTCCAAGCCCAGCAAGGTAGCAGCAACAGCAACAGGACAAATGATGACAACTAATATCATAGCAACAGCTGTTGTGCTAGAGGCAGTGGCAGCAGAAACGGCGGCAGCAGCAGCAGCAGCAGCATGTAGCAGCATGTAGCAGCAGCAGCAGCAGCAGCAGCAGCAGCAGCAGAAGTAATAACAATAAGTAATACTAGTATTAATTGTCAATGATAGTAACCACCGTGAAAACCACAACAGCAGTAGTAGTAATGATAGTAAAAACTGTAAGAACGACAATCATGAGGTTATACACGACGAAAATCTGTCGGATGCCTTTAAGGTTGGATTGTCTTGATTGCAAGGGTTCACGGGCTAGGATTCAAGGGGTGACGGTCTGGGGCTTCGGAATGGGGGTGGTGCATGCTGTAGGTCTGTTTAGCGGGCCTGCCTTCACCCAGATGTACGTAGCCTGGAGGTGGATGTCCTTGTTATCGAAGACCAGAACACCTGGCTTGTCTCCGCGAGGTCCCCCGTCTCGAGATCTAGAAACTCCAGTGCCCCATTGTGGAGGATCCGTTCGAACGTGGTGATGGCTACTTGATGAGAGGCATCTTGACCGCCCAAACAAGAATTTACGATCGTTTCTCCGTTCGCCAAGGATATCTGGTCGGAAGTATCCGAAACCGACATCTGTCCTATCCCTGTTTGTACACCGCTTCGACGGACAGGGCTGCACCACTCTCAAAGGCAACCGACACGGACACAAGCACCCTAGCGCCTTCCACGCTCAGCATCAGCAGCTTCGGTGTGTCTTGATCCTAAGCAGGTGTTTCAGCAGCTTTCGGGGATCGGTTGCCAAAGGGCTTCCTGGAAGGCTTTTGGCCCGAGGGAGGGGCTTCAACAGACGTGTAGCTTTTGGAGGTTGTTGGGGTGCCGGCAGCTGTCGACATCGATTACGTCGTCCCTGCTGCTGTGCTACTACACTTGGGCGGCTGCTCCTGCTCCAAGACCTACACTTCCTACACCCTAAAACCTAAACCTTAAACCCTAAAACCCTTTACCTGAATTCGCAGCTGGAATCGCACGACCCGCATACCGTTTGTTTCACCGAAGCCTGATCGGGGTGTGTACGGTTTCGGAGGCAGTGCCCAGGCACCATCCACAAGGGTCACACACCATCCAAACATCCAAAACAAATCAAAATAGCAAAGAGCAAAATCCTAAAGCAGCAAAGCCTGCAGCAGGAAGAAGTAGCCTATAGAAGCAGGATATGGCAGCAGCAGTTACAAACAATAAGAAAGCAGGGCGGCTCCCGAAGAAGGGAGCCACTGAGCCCCCGACCAACAAAATGGCTTGCCCGGTGGGAATGATCACCAGGGCATCGTCCAATGGTGGCTCCTCTGCTGCATTTGGGGCTTGGCGCTATAAAGTTTGCACAGCTAGTTCCGGGTTGAGAGGGTTTTTAGAGCTTGGGTGGTTTGGGCTTAGGGAGCTTGGCTCGAGGGAGCTATCTTGAAGGATTCAGAGCTGTGGAAGTCTCCCGGAACCTTGGAATTCTTGCTGCGTACGCCGGGGTCCTGCGACTGTTAGGGTTTCTGCAGTTCCCTCCACGTGGTCCTGGTTCGCCCAGGTGTCGAGCAGGGACCAGCGGTCGAGGTACCGCCAACCTTGAAGTTCGGTGCACGTCTGAGGGGTTTGGGTTGAGGATTTGGGGATTTTCGGGTTACATGAAAGGCAGCCAAAAGCAGCAGAAGTATGTTGCCCTGAGGGTGGTTTTCTGGATTTCTCGGGACTCGCTTCTCTTTACAGGATGCACCTTGTACAATCCATGTACTTCGTATGCTTAGTCTACCCCCTTCTTCACTCATGAAATCACAAGCCATCAGCTGTCTACATAAATCATAAACATAAACCCTATGTTGAAGTTAAAGGCTGGTTATCCCTATGTTCAAGTTAAAGGCTGGTTATCCATTCAACATTGCAGCTTTAGCTCTGCTTTCCAAGCCAAAAATGTCCACGTCGAGAAACAGCTGCACCGAGAGAAAACAAGATCACCCGTGCCACTCTGGGGCAGCGGCGCGTGTTTGGTGCAACCCAGGCGCTGCCAGCACCTGGCGACATCCACCCCACCTCATGGCCTGACTAAGCCCTTTACAATCACTCGAAAGTACACAGGACATTTGCAAAGTTTGAGCAAAGTGCGAGATTTCGCCATGCTCCGAGCATTCGGGGCCCAAACCCAAGCCTCTGAGACTAGGGGCCCTTGTGGCAGAAGCGCGTAGGCAACTGTGCCCAGGCAACTTCACAGGAGCTTGATGGCTGCCGCACTCCAAGTCGCAAAAAGCTCATCAAAGTGAGGCAGCTAGTGTTCTAAGGGCCTGAAAAAATTAGAATAGGGTTTTGGGGCCCGTTGTACTATCGTTATAAGGAGCCCTCCGAATAGTATTGGCAACTACGATGTATTTATGCCCCTATAGCACTCAAGATCATTCGGCCCCAGGTAACCAAGATGCTACACTAAACTGAGACTCAGAAGTACGGCACTCCGAGGCAAGCTATAAACCCCCGAACTTATGAGTTCGGCAACTCATATTCATATACCTTCCTTTGACAGATCGGATCCTCGGACAGGGAAGACGGCATGATGCATTGGCCCGAAAATGACTTCGTAGTTTATATACATATATTATACATACATACATACATACATACATACATACATACATACATACATACATACATACATACATACATACATACATATATATATATATATATATATATTATACATATATTTTGTATGTAGGCGTTTAGGGTTTGTGGGGGAGCGTAAAAGCCTGAAACCTTACTTAGCCCCAAACCCTAAACCCTAAGCCCTATAAGCCCTTATTGCAGCTGGCGATTTTGTGGAAGACGTCATTGTTCAGGTACTTGTGATGAGGTTTTGGTGCACATTATGACACAACCCCGGCCCCAGGCATACTGCGACTTAGCTATTCAGGTTTCTCTGGGGGTCCGAGTTGATTAGTCCCGTTTCAGAGAAGTTGCTGATGGCCGTACAGTTGTGACGCAGCGCGCAACCCCCGTGAGCCTGAAACGAAGACCTTCACGCTCGGCGCAAAAATTCCGCGGTTCCGCGGCGTTGTGACCTGGAGGCTCAATGCTATGGCTGTCTTTTGTCGGCTTTCGTATTTGGACCGCCACAAAAACCCTGCAGAATGCAAGGCTTGAGACAAATCGTCCATCGCTTGAGCTCTGAACTCTAAGCTTGGGTAGGGCCGCGAGAATTTCCGGAGTGAGGGGACCTAACATCCGCAGCCCCTTCTAAGGCCAGCACGCACTTGACATAGGTCGGGGCGACCTGGCCAAGGACCCGAGCAGGGCTTATGTAAGGGTTCAGGTTTGAGGGGTTTGGGATGAGAGCAAACCATAGTATCTGCCCGACTTGGATGCGCCACCGCCGCAAGTTACCTGTCCAATCTCGACAACTATGCAGGGATGTAGGGAGACGCTAAGCCCGGCCTCCTGCACATCACACTCATAGCCGTTGAACTCCACAGTGACCGGTGCCTGTCGGCTCAGGTAGTCGGCTGGTGGATGGGAAGGGCGAGCATCTGAATTCGGGCTCATCTTATGCTGATGCTGATGATGCTGGTGGTGATGATGCTGAGGATGAAGGCAAAGTGACGTTCTTCCGACAATTGCTTTCCACGGTCATCATAACCGTCATGACCATCGTCGTCGCTGAGAGACAACATCCATTCAACTGAGCCATAAGTACGCATTTACCAGGAAGCCTATGCACAAACCGCGCCACCCGGGGCAGCAAATCGCTGAACCCAGATGCAA